GGGGTGGGTTGCCAACACCACGCCCAGCCGCCTTTGTCTCCACAGTGATGTTTGCGCACCGTATCATTTAAGGCCGAGCTGACCTAGGAGAGGCTCAGGACCAGTCCAGATATTTGTCAACGATATTGATCGTGAGCGAGAATTGAACTTGGGTCGTCGGGTTCGGAGCGCAGTGCGCTAACCACTTCACTACCGCTCTCCATACAGACACATACAAAAGACAAAGATCCTTCGTATAGCCTTAACATACTATTCGGGCAAGTGCTGTTAGCGATCACCGATGAAGGCCGGCACGGGACACGAGGGCTGGGTGACCAGCACCACGCCCGACCACCACACACAAAGACCCCCGTATAACCTACAGAGACTTTGGGACAAGTGCTGTTAGCGAGTGGCCACGTGGGTGGCCAACACCACACCTGGACCGCCTTTGTCTCCCGAGTGGCGATGTTTACTACACACCGCACCAGGCACTAATTTGAGGCTGAGTCGACCCAGGGGGAGGCCCAGGACCGGTTCAGATAATCGTCGCCGGTGTTGGCCGTGAGCGGGAATCGAACTCGGCTCACCGGCCTCGTAGCGCAGCGTAGCGCTAACCACTACACGACCGCTTCCCAGCAAGCACCATGCGCACAGACACGAGGACAGCACTTGCCCACTCCGTTAAGATCCCCTATTGATCTTAACGGACTGGGCAAGTGCTGTTAGGGGCCGTCCATAAATAACGTCACGCACCTGGGGGGGGGGGGTCAGACATTTGTGACGATGTGTGACGAGGGGGGGGGGGAGGTTGAGAAATTTGACGTCACATCATAATGCGCAACTTTAAATAAATATAGACAAAACGTTCTGCTTAATTAAATAGACTTTTTAATAAATGTTTTCTCCTACAACATCAGAGTGCAACGCCACATTAAATACGCACTACAATGACAATAGTTTAAAGCGATTTGAAGCATGTTTTATTTATTTTTTGGGAGGTGGGGGCAGAGCTTTGTGACGTCATATTTGAGGAGGGGTCTGACTTTTTGTGACGCCGTGTGACGATGGGGGGGGGGAATCGTCCAAAATTGCATGACGTCATTTATGGACGGCCCCTGAGCGGATAATTCCACAAGCACGTGCAGACTGACCGCCCCCCTATCCACACCCCCCCCCGCCTCCCCCCCAATATAAGTGATCTATGCGGCACCACTGGGCCCTTAAACCCGCGTGGTCGCGCATGAACGAGAGTGGGAAGTCTCACAACAACACACAGTGGACTCACACAGACAAGCTTACACTCCACTAACACCCCACTCCGCTAACACACACTCCTGTGTACTCACCGACAAGCGAAAACAATCACGCAACAACAACCATGCTTTAACAATCGTTCGCTGCACTCAACACACGCTATTGTTGCATACACGACACTCGTATACAACAATGCAAACACTCGACTCACATACACACTACGTTATACACTCTTATACACATATATCCGATCATACGCGAGACCCATAGCCACTTATATATAGATACAGCCATACACTTAGCGAACAGAGACACACGCGCGCATATTATGCGCGCACTATAGACACAGCTACACAAGCGTAGTCATACATACACAATGTCTGCTACACGAGAGTAGACTTACACACACTCACACTAGACACACACCACACTAGACACACACCACGCTAGACACACACTCACACTAGACACACACCACACTAGACACACACCACGCTAGACACACACTCACACTAGACACACACTCACACTAGACACACACCACACTAGACACCACACTAGACACACACTCACACTAGACACACACTCATACTAGACACACACCACACTAGACACACCACACTAGACACACACTCACACTAGACACACACTCACACTAGACACACACCACGCTAGACACACACCACGCTAGACACACACCACACTAGAAACACACTCACACTAGACACACACCACACTAGACACACACCACTAGACACACACTCACACTAGACACACACCACACTAGACACTCACTCACACTAGACACACACTCACACTAGACACACCACACTAGACACACCACACTAGACACACACTCACACTAGACACACACCACACTAGACACTCACTCACACTAGACACACACTCACACTAGACACACCACACTAGACACACACTCACACTAGACACACACTCACACTAGACACACACCACACTAGACACACCACACTAGACACACACTCACACTAGACACACACTCACACTAGACACACACTCACACTAGACACACACCACGCTAAACACACCCCACACTAGACACACACTCACACTAGACACACACTCACACTAGACACACACCACACTAAACACACCCCACACTAGACACACACCACGCTAAACACACACCACACTAGACACACACCACGCTAGACACACCACACTAGGCACACACTCACACTAGACACACGCCACACTAGACACACACTCACACTAGACACACACTCACACTAGACACACACTCACACTAGACACACACCACGCTAAACACACACCACACTAGACACACACCACGCTAGACACACCACACTAGGCACACACTCACACTAGACACACGCCACACTAGACACTCACACTAGACACACACTCACACTAGACACACCACACTAGACACACACTCACACTAGACACACGCCACACTAGACACTCACACTAGACACACACTCACACTAGACACACACCACGCTAGACACACAGCCGCTGTGAGAAGTCAAAGGAAGAGTGGTCATCTCACCTGGATCCCAGACGACTCATTCAGACAGCGGGCGCACAGGTGGGAAACCGTGTGCGTACAAGTGTGTGTGTGTGCGTGCGTGCAGGTCAACTCAGCCTCAAATGAGTACCTGGTGCGGTGTGTTAAAAAAAAAAACATCGCCACCTGGGAGATAAAGGCGGTCGGACGTGGTGTTGACCGCCCACCCCCTCGTGTGCCGTGCCGGCCTTCATAGGTGCTGCTCGCTATCACAGCACTTGCCCCAAAAATCCCGTTGAGTATATACGGGGGATCTTTGGCTTGTGCGTGCAGGTGTGTGTATCTGTACGTGTGTGCGGGTGTGTCCGTGTGCGGGTGTAGCGGTTCGGGCAGCGGTCAATGCGCTGCGCTAAGAACTCGGCGACGATTATCTGAACCGGTCCTGGGCATCCTCGAGGTCGACTCAGCCTTAAATAAGTAGCCGATGCGGTGTGTAAACATGAACGCTGGGGAGACAAAGGCGGGCGGGCGGGCCCACACCACTCCCACGTGCGCGTGTCCTCGCCAACAAGCACGTGACCCAACAGTCTGTTCAAGGCTATATGGGGGAGTCATATTCTTGGTTCTTTCGGTAAAGTCACGTAGAAGGGAAACAATAAAATAATAAAAATATAAAACATCCCTGCAGTGACGAAAGCTTTAAATAAAAATTTATATGGGGGATCTTTGTCTTTGCATGCAAGTGATTACAGCGTTGTTATTCACGGAGGTTGTCTGACTATACTTCACCGCTCTAGTCAATAAGGGGGGGGAGGGAGGCAGGTCCACGCTAGGCTGCCTTTGTCTCCCCGGTGTTGATATTCGCACCGTACCTTATAAGTCCCCAATTTCACGGCTAAGTCGGCCAAGGGGGGGGGGGAGGCCCAAAAGCAGTTTAGATATCACTCGCCACTGACGTTAGCCGGGACTGTGAATCGAAGCCAGATTGCTGGATTTGTAGCGCAGTTGTAAAAAAAACAAGTGTACTTAAAAAAAATATCGTTCCCTGACCGGGAATCGAACCCGGGCCGCGGCGGTGAGAGCGCCGAATCCTAACCACTAGACCACCAGGGAAGCCACGTACGCTCGGTCACACTCCTCCACCACGTGTGTGAATTGAACTCGCGGTTCACTGACTCAGGGGTCCCACCGCTCTCTTCTCCATCTCGCTACAAAGGGCAGCGGCGGCAGCAGTGGTTTGCGCAAGACACACAGCAACAAAAAAGTTAGCGTCCAGGTCACGGCTAACGTCGGTGGCGAGTGGTATCCGAATCTGTCCTGGGCTTCCCCTAAGTGAACTCAACCTAAGGTGACTTTACCGAAAGAACTAAAGACTATGGATTCCTGCAGTTACGAAAGCTTTCAAATCAAGATTGAGCCTGAGGTGTTAAAATGTCAGCACTGGGGAGACGAAGGCGGCCGGGCGTCGTCCTCTCATGCGCTGTACCGGCTGTCACAGATGCTTGCTAACAGCACTTGTCCCAATAGTATGCGTAGGCTACATGGGGGATATTTGCCTTTTTTTGTGGAATTATTCTTGGGGAGGGCTTTATTCAACAGTGGCAGTCGACGTAACGAAGCCAGGACGACAGGAGTCGTCCACGTTAAAGATTCGATTAATAATCACGATTTCCCTCAATAATCGATAAACTATTTTACACTGCAGTACAGTTAATAGTAGCGGCCTCTAGTGGATGCAGGATTCATGTGAACCTATTATATAACACATACGCGAACCGAAAACAGATTATTACGCATGCGGCTTGATCCATAAAAAATCCAGAGCTTAACGAATCGATATTTAATCAATGTTTAATCGATTCATGGTAACCCCTCTATACATGAGGGCATTGCGTTAATCCTGATCATCATTATTTATTCATGACGAGTATATTGACAAATTGATTCTAACCACGGCTACTGGACTGACCCCTACAGAGGCACAATTACCGTGTTCTCCGGATTATAAGACGCCCCGGAATGTACCCGAAACTTACGCCCGGCTTCATTTAACGTGATACAGGTACAAATATCGATCTGTCTATACGTCTCTCACGCCAAACAACCGGATTATAAAACGCACCCCGCTCCGTTTTGCTTTCAAACCCGTGCGTCTCATCATCCAAAGAGTACAGTGTTTAGGCGCGTCTCCTAATTAACCCATTATCACCACTCACCTGTGATGCAGGTGAGTGGTGATGACGGGGTGTGATCGGGAGAGGAGGGCGGGGGTATGCAGTACATTAATGATCATCGTTAATTAGGCACAGGTTATATCTCTTGTATATAAGGGCTTCGCTGCTCCCAACTCGTGGCTTCCACGTGGTGGGTTCGTTGGTCCTCCGAATGAGAGGCGGAGCCGCACAGCTAAGTGAAGGTGATCGTGGAGGTGTCCATCGATCGGCGTCTGGCTTGGTGTGAGTGTCCGTCGTGATCGACTCGGCCTCCAAATGAGTACTGCACCTCGTGCGGTGTGCAGTAAACATCGCCACTGGGGATACAAAGGCGGCCGGGCGTGGTGCTGGCCACCCACCTCCTCTTGTGCCGTGCCGGCATTCATAGGTTCTCGCAAACAGCCCCAAGGGTCTGCTCATGCTAGAAGGGGGATCTTTGTGTTTTGTTTTGTGTCGTGGTAAGTGTCGGGCAAGGTAGTTGTCCTGTTGTGTGTGTGTATATACTGTTTTTGAATCGTGAATACTATACTTTAATGGTAACTATCGGTTATGACGTTATGACGATGGGGCAGAGTCTGTCGGTTTATGTTGTAAATGAGTATTATACACCCTTGAGGCCGGTGGTGGAAATTCCACATTTCTATGGCGAGGGGGCGAGTCTTTCCCTATGTTCAACTCGTGAACTACCCCCACCTCCCCGCGACAAAGTGGTACTCATTTTATCGATTCTGCAGAGATTGATGATGGGCGAGGTCAACAGAATCCTGTTGGGGGGGTTATCTCCTTACGATTATGATCCGCTGAGAAGTACAATATTAATATTAACGATCATGTCAATGCAGTGCTTTGGACGTCCACTGCTGGATGAGGTCTCCCTCCCACGTCGTGTAGAAACGTGGCGGTTTTCATCTCGATGGGAGTTTAAACATACTTCACCACCATACTTCACCACTCGCCGCTCGTTACTATAGTGTGGATTCCGAGGTGATGTGAACATGGGAGATTGATGTTAGCCGTGACCCCGGGGGAATCGAACTCGTAGCGAAGAGTGTGTGCCAAGTGCTGCGTCACTGCTCCCGCACAACAAGGTACATACCATGCACAGTGGTAATTAACTTCTGTGCTGAAGAGTCACGTTGGGAAGCGGGACAAAAAAATATTCCTGAGCACGAGGAGAGGAACGCGTGGGATTTGGAGGACGGGCGCCAGTTGTGAAGCCATTGGGAAACGTGCACTTTTAAATCTAGCTTGACAAAGTAATTTTTTAAACCATTGTTTGTGTTTAGTTTGTTGTCTTTTCCCCCCGCACCTCCGATTAGCACGTTTTGGCGACGCACGGTGCGAAAGAAGTTCAACATACACGCGCATAGTTGGAAGCTTTACATTGTCTGTGTAACGTTAGTAGTCCCTGCAGGGCTAGGATGGGGTCGATGGATCGGTGGTCGAGACGAACGAAGGAGACGATGTTGATAACCAGGAAGTTGCATTTGCGCTTGAATTGGCTCACTCTGTGTAATCTCACAGAAGCAGCCTGTTTTCGATTCCTGACCGTGGCGTCGGCCAAATGTTCTCAGCTGTCCCATGTGTGTGTTTTTTTTCTTATGTGGTGTTTGGTGTCATGTCCGACTTTTCGGCTCCACGTGCTGCGAGTTTCTTCATCGCTGCACTCGCATTTCATTCATCCGTCTAACCATTCGATGGTAGATTTGTTATCCAGACCTTGCCGTGGGCTCTCCTTCCAGGTTCACCCGGCCATAGAATAGTCACACCTGGCAACATGGTTGGTGATGGTGGTCTATGAGCACTGGGGAGAAAAAAGTCCGGAGTTTTAGGTTTCCCTGGATAACATCGATACATACATGAGGAATTATCCGTCCGGTCCGTCTCTCCACACTCTTGATCTTATCTGGTCACGTTCATATGTTTAGTCAGGTGAAAACTCGTAGGATGTCTCATTTGCAGGTAGCCTATACATGTGTTCATCCATTTATTTTCCCGTCTGTCAGTTCAACAGCGCCTCTGTCTTTGAGCTGCTTATGCGTTTGTCCTTCCGTTCACCCGTCTAACCGTACCATCCGTATCTCTGTCCACTGCCCATGCGTCCATCTATCCGGTAATACGCCTGGTATGTCCGCTTGTCATTTTGTCCACATGTTCATCTCCCGATTTGTCCTTTCATCTGCCCGTACGTTAGCCCTACCGTTCGTCTACCTGTCCCCTCTCGAGCTTCCGTCCGCCCACGTGAAGACTTTGAGGGCTTCTGTCTGGGCCGCTCTGCACAGTGCCCGTGATGAGAGCCACTCGGCACTGAGCAGAGGAGGAGCCGGGAGGAGACCTCCCGTCATCATCAAACGTCGTCGTCGTCGTCCTTGCCACCTCTGTCCTCTTCACGATGAGGCGGTTACTGGCGCTGGCCGTCGCCCTGCTGCTTCTGGACTCTGTCGCGCTCGCTGTGGGGTCGCGGGAGGGCACGACACAGCACCTCCCCTACAGGACCCGGAGAAGTGAGTGTATCCCCTCTCATGACTTCATCTAGCACCGCAACAATCCTTGTGGGTCTGTCTCACAGCCCCTAGGTTCCTAGAGCCAGGCACTCGTACGAGTCGTATCGCTCGCTGCTAATGCCCGAGGCTCTTTGGCAGATTGAAGAAGCCTAAAGAAGCTTCAGTGTTGATATAAGAGGCTTCGAGCCAAATCAAGCCAGTTTTTTTATTCTTAATGTTCAACGTTAATGCCTGTGACTGTAATCCTCGTAAACAAATCATTGTCACTCTTCGGTCTTGTGGCTTGGCATTAATGCCTAAGATGTGTAGTCCAAGGCATTTTTTTAGGACTGATAGGGTTCACTGTTCTAGTCTGAGGCTCAAAGAGCCAGGCTAAGGCACACACCGTTTATTTAGTTCACGCTTCATGTCCTAAGCTCGTACAACCAAAGGGCAGTCACTTTGATATTTATAGTTAGGTTTTAATATTTTGGGCTCTTGTAGAGTGAGACTTTAGGAATCGCAGTTCAATGTAGATGCGGTGATGTGCTGGGAAGGGGGGGTCTTTAATCCATCGGTGACCACGTGGGAATATAACCTACCGGTTGCATCACTTGCGAGTGACCAATCACCCACCCCCCACGTGTGCGTTCCCATGGCCGTGTGGATGACCCATCGCCCCCGCAAGTGTGACCGTGTGTGCCCTGGAACGGTAGTATGGCGGTTGGCGCACTGAACTATGAACCTGGCGACCCGGGTTCAATTCCCGCTCGCCGTCAACACCAGTGACGATTATCTGAACCGGTACCTGGACCTCCCCTAGGTCGACTCGGCCTCAAATGAGTACCTGGTGCGGTGTGTACACATCGCCACTGGGGAGACAAAGGCGGTCGGGCGTGGTGCTGGCCACCCACCCCCCTCGTGTACCGTTCCGGCCTTCATAGGTGCGCGCTGACAGCACTTGCCCCTACAGTCTGTTACGGCTATACGGGGGGGGGGGGTCTTTGTCTTTGCCCTGCCCCGGCTGCTGTGACCAGGTCTGTCGGCGGGGAGGGCGCTGCTCTCGTGCCCGCGGGGTTGCTCCGTCTGCTCGGCTGCCAACGGCTGCCTGCTGTGCGCACCGCGCCTCTTCTTCCACCTGCAGCGCGTGGGCATGCGCCACCTGGGCCAGTGCCTCCTCGCCTGCCCCGCCGGCCACTACGGCCAGCGCAACGCCATCGCGCACCGCTGCATGCGTGAGCCGCGCCCCCCACTCCTCGAGATACAACACCGCTCCTCGAGACGCACGTCTCCCCACCCCCCTCTCTTCCTCCAGACGTGTGCCCCCCCCCCCACTCTCCTCGAGATGCGTCCCATTGCAGTGTGCTACATTGACCTGGCCTTCACTGAACTTGCATACCCCTAGCTGCACTGCAATGTCCTGCACTGATCTCCACGAGCTTAATTTACACAGCCCTGCCTACACTAACCTCCACTTGTCTTTAGTGACCCGTGCTGACCAAACCTTCGCTGAACTGCGAGCCCTAGCCTTTAACCGACATGACCTTGCAGCCCCCAACTGCACTCACTTGAACTGAACTTCACCCAGTAGCTCCTCAGTGCTGCCAGCTGTTGTTTTGCCGACCTCGGCGAGTGCTCCATATTTGTGCAGGCCTTAATAGGCGCTTACCGACACACCCGCTCACCGTGCCGACCTTACTGGGCGCTCGCTAACACCTCGCCCGCTGTCCACGCAGGCTGCCAGGTCCCGCACTGCGATAGCTGCTTCGGGCACTCGTTCTGCACGCGCTGCTCACGCGGACACTTCCTGTACCGTGGCCACTGCGGGACAGGCTGTCCCATCGGACACGAGGGGGACAACCGCACGCAGGACTGTCTCCCCACAGGTACGCTGGGGGGGGGGGGGGGGGGGGGGATATGGACATGGGGAGGTCATTGGGACTAGAGGAACGCGCAACCACCTCTGATTATCATGGTTGGCTACGTACGTGATCTAACCCTAAAACCTTTATTATTAATAATATTAGTCGCAAAAGCCAAAGTGTTTAAACCAAATAAAGTTCCACTTGCATACATACAACCCATATGGAATGACGAGAGGACATAGGGGACACAATGGATGTGGGCCCGCCTGCCAACTCGTACGGATCGCGACACTGGGACCCAACCACTACAGTTCCAAACCGAGCCATTGGGATATGGGAAAGGTGGGAGGGGGGTGAGCACACAGCCACAACCAGGTCTGCCCACCAGTATACGGGAGACACGCTGGGGGGTGGGGGGGGGAAGGAAGTGTGCCGTTTGTGGAATATTGTGGATAATAAAATAATAAACAGACAAGGGTCTGTTTGACCACGTTAACAAAACCATAAACATCGCCACCACCAGGGCAATGTTTCACCACGTAGCCACATTATAGGCCGTTGGGACAAGTGCAGTTTAGCGAAGATCTATGAATGCCGGTGAGGCACACCAAGAAGTGTTGTGGTCGGTACCATGCCTGGCCAGTGACCTTTGGCTCGCCTGTGCCGCTGTTCGCATCCCGTACCAGGTTGTAATTTTAAGGCCGAGTTGACCCAAGGGAGGCCCAGAACTGAGATATCACTTCCCACAGAAGTTGGCCATGACCTAGGGGTAAAAGTTGGTAGGGCATTGAGGTGGGTGACCAACACAGAACCCCTCCCTATTGCTACTACCAAAGATAAAGACAAAGATCCCCCGTATAGCCTTAGCAGACTGTTGGGGCAAGTGCTGTTAGCGAGCACATAATTTGAAGACCAGAACGCGGTGGGTGGTCAGCGCCCCATGCCCAGCCGTCTTTTGCATCCCTAGGGGCAATGTTCACACACTGCACCAGGTACTCATTTGAGGCCGAGTTGACCTAGGGGAGGCCCTGGACGGGTCCAGATAATCGTCACTGGTTTTGGCTGCGAGCGGGAATCGACATCTGGTCGTTAGTTCCGAGCGCAGTGTGCTAACCACTCCACCGCCACCAGCAGCGGCATCGCCAACTTCAACAAACGCCTCGAGTCTTGACAGCTACAGCTGGTTCGTAGAGTTTGCTCTTGTTGCCTGCATTGCCGTCATCCTTGCCGTGTCCCCACACGCGGGCCGGCAGCGTCCATAATAAAATCATAAAGGGGGGCAAGGGTTAGTTTCTGCCGTATGAAAAAAAAGTTGACGTTTGGCTCCGAAAGCATTAAGATTCCCTTGAACCAAAGTTTTTTTTCCCCATTAGCAATCCCTGGGCTGGTTTCTAACTTGACCAGAGTCATCAGCAGTGTGTGGCCTGTCTTTAAAAATAAAACCCACACTGGTCCAAAGTTTATCGCCAAAACTGCAAACTCTGCTGGAAAATATTGGTCCAGAAGGCGCATCAACTGTGGGAGTGGAATGCTGTTGTAATTTCATGTTGAGAGACCCTTGCTTGTTTATGATGTTATTACTGAACGGACATCTGACACGACCTGGCCACATGTAGTATGGGGAAATTGTGGGTGTGGAGAGGTGTGGGGTGGGTGGGAGGGGGACACGACTCTTGGGAGCACGTGGGTGAGCACTTGGGGGGGGGGGGGGGGGGGCACTGGTGGGGCACAGGGAGGGGGCGGGGGGGGCAGGGGCATGAGGGGGACATGAGTAACCCTGAAATGATGCATGCTATATTTAAATGTAGTAGCTGTGGAGGTGGTCTCAGCGTGGTCGAAATTGGTTTTGAGTGTACCATATAGGATTGCTGCCTTGATGTAGGCGAAATTCGTGATTGTTTGTTGTGCTGATGATGAACTTGCTGTGTTTCTACTCAAAATGAGGTTGCTGGTTTATTCTAAGGATGACGGCAATTCAGTGGATGCTGCTGCTCTACGATATGCTGATGAGCCTGATTCTGATGGTTGTTATGATTATTAATATAATACTCGTGGTCATGCCACTGCTGACGCTGATGTTGATGGATGATTCTGAGGTTAATGGTAATGATGCCGGTGGTGGTCGTCTTGGTTTGGCGAGGATGATAATGCTGCTGACGATACTGATGTTTGAACCACCCAGTGGACTGCGAGGTGTCCCCATGGGGGCCATGGTCCGCGTGTGAACGGAGGGGGAGGACGTGCGGCTACAAGTGGGGGGCCCAGGAGAGGAGGCGCAGTGTGACGAGGGCCCCCTCCCCCCATGGGCAGCACTGCCCGCCACTCCAGCAGGCTCAGCGCTGCCGCGTGCAGCCCAGGTTTTGCCCCGGGGACGGTGAGGATCATTGACCATGGTCATCATCCTCGTCATCATCGATGACGTTGCCCGCATTGGATGCAATTGTAATCGTTGATACGATCGGTAGATTTCCATCGTTGTCACCGGCATTGTTTCCATTCATCACTGCTGATATTACGTAACCTATGCATTAACACGCGTGTCCTCAACGGCGCTTCATGAACAATAATCGCCAATGCAATTAGACATTGACAACATGCTGTATTTGAATGTATATCAGCCTGCTTGCGAAATGGTAATAATATTTGGCATTTATCATGAATACGGTGACCGTTATCAACATTACGATACATTTTTAATGTGTAATCTGAGTGCAATGTTATCGCATCGGTTTCATCAATAACTTTCATACATCCACACAATAATTCCCATCAACATCAACCACACCGTGCACTTTTATGATTCGAGGTTGTATATAGAGGCGTCTGAATTCAACCGCGCCTCGATATGCGCGCGTGTTTAAGTTGCAAGCTGATTAAGTTCAACAAGGCGGTGACCTACGTCCCCTAAGTGAAGAAAGTCAAAACAAAGCAGAGCAATCAAGTAAATAGCAATTGGAACAAAATTAACATTCCTACGAGGCATGGCAAGTATTTATCAAACATAAATCAACGTTAAATCGAAGCTAAATATTAAATTCCCTGCAGCTCCGACAGTTTTAGCACCAGACTCCTAATCCTGATACAAGTTACAAAACTATGTTTTGTAGAAACGATTAACAAATATAGGCTCCACCCATAGCACTCTTACATGAACAAACGAAGATTCTTATTCTTAGTTTTTTTCGGTAAAGTCACGTTGAAGAGAAACAACAAAATAATAAAATATATATAAAACAATAAAAAAATTCTCACGACGTTTCGACCATAACTCAAACGGTCGTCTTGAGTTATGGTCGAAACGTCGTGAGAATTTTTTATTGTTTTATATATATTTTATTATTTTGTTGTTTCTCTTCAACGTGACTTTACCGAAAAAACTAAAAATATGAATTACTGCAGTCACGAAAGCTTTAAATCAAAACGAAGATTCTATTTAGGATTTGTATTGCACCCTTTCCAGGGCATGTCACAGTAGCATCGGTGTAACCCACACGTGCACCAAGACACGTCAATGGTGTATCGTCATTTGCCATCGTTGCTGTGCGTTGCAGAGCTAGGTCCGCTGAGGCAGAAGATGCGTTTGGAGCAGAAGAGGAGAAGAGGGTTCACAGTGACGAGGAAATTCGAGGTCGAGCCCTGACATCAACCCGCGACTGCGCGTCACCAACAGCCACAACAACCACCACCTGCTGCACCACCACAATGATCAGCGACAGCGGTATACCAACACCACTACCACCACCACCACGAGCAGCAGCACCGTGAAGATTTAAACCGCGTGGGATTTTGCGGTTGTGCCATGACGGCTCTCTGGTTTGTTCAGGTCGTGCCTCGTGTTGTTGGGCACGATGTCTGACGTTTTGTCTCCACGTGCGGCAGAAGTTCCTGGAAACAAAACGTCGGACACTGCACCGAAACAGCACGCAGTGGAGACGGCATGTAAACGTTTCACCACGGTCATTTTTATGTCCGTTTTTCGTTTTTAGGATCGTAAAAGCCGCACAGAACAAAAATGTTCCTTGTATTGTGCTCAATGGAGAAAATGTCTTGAACATTTTTGAAAATCTCTGCTGTGATCGTTTAAGTTTATTTAAAGTAATTCGTACAAATGTTTTTGCTTTTCAGGGTTTATTTGGATGGGCGCTACAGTGCAAAAAAATCTGTGCTGGTTGGAGACATGTGAAATAATGTCTAAGTTTTGGCCACGGCGGGGGGGGGGGGGGGTTTGTACAAATAGTTGTGTTTGTAAAATCTTTTATTTGCGTTGACATTTTTTTAGTATTTGGTTTGCCCTCCAGTGCAAAAACAAATGAAATTTGCACGAGGGCATGTGGCCTACTTGTTGCGAGTGCCCCACTATTTTTGAGTTTTATTTTACGAAAAAAAAGTTTCTTAATTTATTATTATTTTTACATACAAATTAAAAAAGGGCGCAACAATTCACAATTTGTTGCGGAAATGGGGGGGGGGGGGGGTGGGCGAATGTGGAGTTATTTTTCTTTGCCATGCGCAGCAATCGCTCAAATTTGAAAAAGCGTTGGTGCTACCATGGATGTTTGTTTTGGTGGGAAACGCTGTGTCCAATTTTTGAGGCTTAATTCGGGTGGCCACGCAGCACGAGAATTTGAATGCATCAGGTGTTTGCTTGAAGATTGGGAACTGCAAGCGTGCCTCGTTTAGAGTTTGTCGCTTGTGCAGGAGTGTTTTTGCTTTGCCTCTGTTCCCCATGTTGAATGACGCTGTAGTTTAATTGGCATCTGCATTTATTCAATTCCATTTTATATATATTTTTACATTACCGCTTTTTTATTGAAACCAACTTTATTTTTTTGAATTATTGCCACCCTTGTGATGCTTTATTATTACAAATATAAAAATCAGCGCAACTGCAATTAACCAATGTTAATTGCAGTTGCGCTGATTTTTATTTGTATTTTTTTTACTTATTTATTTGTATATTTATATTTTCCTTTAGGAATTAATTTAAAACTGTTTTTATTTGCTACTTACAGCTACAACATTTTTGTTTGTCATTGCATTGGTTGATCGTCTTATTGCGTGGTGCAGATGTTGTCTTGAAAGGGGGAAAAGTCAATCAACAATTTTTAAACAAATCAAGAATATCAATTGGACCTAAAAGCAATGGCATATCAATCTCAAGTTTTGTTTACAAATTTCAGCAGAAGTGGCATAAATCGAAACATAAGTCTGCACCATAACTCTTCCTAAGATCCGGAATCTGCATCTCCTAAATCCTAGAAATAGCAACTGATACACCAACCCAAGTCTTGCTAGCTTAGGTTATGATACGTTTTTATTAGTTTTTTGGGGTGGCAAATTTGATTGTCCGTATTTATGTATTTGCAGCAATCGGAAAACTCAAACAGGCATGGCTTATTCTTAGTTCTTTCGGTAAAGTCACCACGTAGAAGGGAAACAATAAAATAATAAAATAAAAATCTCACGACGTTTCGACTGCAACACAAGCAATCATCATCAGGTGTGAAAACCACAGCAAGAAAATAAAAAAATATGAGTTGTAAGTAAGGAATTGTTAGTATTCTTGGTACTTTCGGTAAAGTCACCACGTAGAAGGGGAAACAATAAAATAATAAAAATATAAAACAATAAAATTATCACGACGTTTCGACTGCAACACAAGAAATCATCATCAGGTGTGAAAACCACAGCAAGAAAATTTGGAAAGTGGCTTTTTTTTCTTAACATTAGCATCACGGAGAGCGATTTGACAGTTATTCAGATGGACGAGTTTCCCTTCTACGTGACTTTACCGAAAGAACCAAGAATATGAATCCCTGCAGTCACGAACGCTTTAAATCAAGGCATGGCTTAGTTAAATAATCCCGTGCAAAGACTACACTTGACTTGGGAGATTTAATTCACAATTCACGAGGAACGAATCTCCACCTTAAAGTCAATGGTGCAATATATTTGTCTCGAGTTGCAACTGTATTATAAACCCACACGTTGCATGTGTTCTGTACACAACACAGCATGTATATGCGGTATATATCTATTTTACAACCATATTTAATTCGTGTCTTCACGTGGCGTTACGGAATCTCTTCCACGGAGAAAAATCCTCGCCCAAAAACATTCCATCAATATAGACGAACCTTCCTCAAGCAGTTTGCATTGGCTGTTTACCACCAAGCCTAATTGCAAACTAATAATAGGAAAAACTTTTACTTGGCAGTGACTGTTCAAAATAGTGGGGAAATTGAGTTAATTTTGCTAAAAGTTACTTTGGGACTTTTCTATAAAATAGTTGAGTATAGCCAGGGTACATGGGACCAAAACTCTCCATGGCCATTGGCTGACCTCTTGTAAATCACTATCCAATTTTGGTGGCTCAAAAGACAGTCCAGGGAAAGTTCTCTTATCCATGGTGCAATATATTTGTGATGGACCAACGTCATGGATCCTATTAGTCGCAGTGTTATCCAGAATTATTTGTAGGAAATGGTTGTGGATGATGGGGTTTTTTGTCTGGACTCTTGCAGATAATCGGAGTCGTGGATATGATCACGGATAAGAGGAGTTCTGTGGTTGATGTGTTCAGAACACAAGTGTTTTGAACAGAACTGCAGCGTTATTTATGGTGCATTATTATTCAAAAGAACTGCGCACGTTAATTGCGTTTGGATTTTTTTCAGTAAATCTATGCTAAGTTTTGCATTTAAGTTTTTCCATTAAACGTGGCATGGGCATTACCTAATATACACAACTGCTTGAGAAAGTGTGTGGTGTCTGGTCTGCCTTGTATCGATGGTGTAGTTATGCTATATCCTTCAAATGTGACTCGTTCACCTGTTTTTGTAGTCTCTACTATCACTGAAACGTAGGCGCCCATCCGATTTTCATGAAATGCAACGAATGCCATCGATTCGCCCGAATGCGGTGTGGCATGCGATCAGCGAGGTTCAAGAATCGCTATTCAAGAAGGTCATGGAGCGGAGTGCGATAGGGCCAACCTGGAGGATGACGATCGTGTTGATGTTTTGGCCATAGCCAAAAATTGAGTGGACGTAATAAGGGAAAAATAATTTCCTGGAATAACAGTACAATTCTAATCGAGCGACACTGGAATGACACAAAATGTGGACAAGAATGCAAAACATGGATTCACGACCACAATCTGGAAGCGTGACATTTTAGATGCCATGAAGAGGGCTTAAGATTTGGCTTGGGCATGAAGTTTTAGGACCTGGGATGGAGGGAAGATTTTTCTTTTGAGGTGACATTTTTATATGACAACCTGGAACGTGATTTGAGAGGATGCCACTTTGGACACGAACATTTGAAGTGTGAAATGAAACCAGAATCTTGATTTAAATGTGAATTGATGTCGGGTGTGCATCGGAAGACACGACCTGCACAAATGAGATGCGAGGAATGGAGATGCAAGGCTTTAAGTCGTGGGTGAAGCGCGTAAATGAGAGCTGTGGATCGCAGAAGGGATCTCGAGTCGTGGTGTCCATCGCACAGCGAAGACAAACCGAGGGGACTGTTTATGGTGGAAAATGGCAGTGAAAGGTGGAGTGTCTGTGAAGGTGGACCTCGTAGATAACGCTTGAAGGAGGCAGCGGAGGTGGAGCAACAGATCACAATGGACAAGGCTTTGTAATGGAGCAGTGGATATAAAATGTCTGGAGGTGCATAGTGTTTAACGTGCGCTGTAGTAATTTAGTAAATCTTGGTACCGTGCGAAACATTTGTAAGTGGGCTCTGGACAGTGGTTTGCTCAACATTAGAGTAAATGTTTTGCAGTATTAAAGTGCCATTTCTGTATAAGCTTTATGAAATCCAATGCTGAATGCTTGTTCGTCTTATGAATTGTAAATCTCAATACCAATGATGTACTTTGTAATATTATGCAATTCCCTTTGTACGGTGCGAATTGTAACTTGCATATTTGTCAACTTGCAATTATGTCCCTAGTTCGTGTCTACAAAATTTACATTGGAATGTGTAAAAAAGAAATCCATCAAAATGTTCAGCGAGCTTATGTGAGCTACAGAATGTAATGTCGATTACCTATCAGTGTTACCAATTGTGATGCCGTTTGCACACTTAACCTCTGTGTATGCACACTACGAAATGTGATGTCCATTCCCTATTAGCGCTACGGAATCTAATGTCGGTCTGTGTACCTTTATAAAATGCAATATTACACACTTTATGACGCAGTGAAATCAATTGTGGTACAATCAACATCGTACAATAAATGTCCTCGAGATAAGCTAAAAAGTTATCTTAAATCGCCTCAACGGAATGTACTTGTATTCACTTTACCGTACGCGCGTATCAGCACTATGAATTCGAAACGCGTCGGTCAGTGTGCGCTATAAAATTAACCGCCGCGTTAAATTAAACTCGCAGTGTATTTGTTGAGTGCATCCCTAACAAAGTGCGCGTCATTCGTTAAATGTAACCGTTGCCCTGATAATTATGTAATATTTCGTGCAGTTTGTCGCATTGGCTGGTGTGACGCGTCTAACTAAACCCCGTGGATGAATGGCAGTGTGTTTGTAAAAAGTTCTGCACGGCGAGGTTCTTCTTCTTTTTGGGGCCGTCCATAAATGACGTCACGCACCTGGGGGGTGGGGGTGGGGTCAGACATTTGTGACGATATGTGACGAGGGTGGGGGGGGGTGAGAAATGTGACGTCACATCAAAATGCGCAACTTTAAATAAATATAGGGAACACGTTCTACTTAAATATAATGTTTAGTAAATGTTTTCTCCAACATCAGAGTTTAGCGCCACATTAAATACGCACTACAATGACAATAGTTTAAAGCGATTTGAAGCACGTTTTAGTTTCATAATGGCAATATGGTTTTGATGGGGGGGGGCAGAGCATTGTGACGTCATATTTGAGGGGGGGGGGGTCTGACTTTGTGACGCCGTGTGACGAGGGAGGGGGGGGGGGTTAAAAATCGTCCAAAATCGCGTGACGTCATTTATGGACGGCCCCTTAGACAATAAACGACATTGTTTCTTAAAATTTGGCCGAAATAACAAACGTTTGCCCCCCCCTCCTCCTCATCGATGGTTAACGCGTGCGAAGGCTGTCACGACCAATATGGCTTCGCAACTCGTTGTGTTTGTGGTGTCGGATTGCGTAAGGTGACGCGTGGCGTTGTACACCCTCCGCCACCCGACGGGGGCCAATTTAATAAAAGTCGTCAAGTGGACCATCGCGCGACACTTTATTGTTGTTTTCGGCAGCAACCCACCACCAAATCATCTGTTGTTGACGAGCAATGCCACGACAGAGTAACTGGGTGGTGGTACCACCTTTCGCCGGTACTGCAGTTGCAAGCAGCGTCTTGCCAGCATCAAAATATAACAATAGGTTTTACCCTTTCTGGCAATAAAAAGTCGTGTTAAGATGTTAACATACCGGATTGAAACTTTTTGGCAGGGAATAATGTAACTGCATTAACCACATATACTTGTGGTGAATATGCAAACAAACAAAAACACATTTGCTGGTAGGATATCATGCATTGTCTTTGAAACGGATTGGTCCACGCCAGAGACCGCTTTCTTTTGAGCCGCGTCTCAAACAGTGTTAGACCAGAGGATGCCAAAAGGTGAGAACAGGACAAGGACAATGCCACTATCAGGACATTGAGAGCTCGGGGTTAGCAGCTACATCATGGGACCTCCCTTGCCACTGTGCCAGTATCAAAATATAACAGTAGGGGTTACCCTTTCTGGCAATAAAACAGGTGTTAAGATATTAAAACAAATCGAAACCTTTTACAGGGAATAATGTTACTGCATTAACCACATATACTTGTGGTGAACATGCAAACGAAAAAAAATATGCTCTGGTAGTATATGATGCATTGTCTTTGAAAATGATTGATTCACACCAGAGACGGATTTCTTTAGAGCATGGTCTCAAACAATGTTAGACCAGTGGCGTCACGAGGATTGGTGTCACCCCACCATGGACCACCAAAGGGGGGGGGGGGGGGGGGGTTGGGGTGATCACGTGTCCAGGTGAAGATCCTTCTCGAAGGTTGGAGAAGGTGGGCGTGGCTAGGGGCGGAGCGAGCCCCTGCCACACAGGTGAAAATCCGGAGCCCTGAGCGACACCGGTTGCTGTTGTCATCCTGAAGAAACCTCCCCGCTTACGTTCTACGTTCTGCAAGAGTTCTCCAGCACGTGAACCCGGACCCGAGTTGGGTCCGGGGTACGTGGTAGCTAGTTACAGTGTAATTAGTGTAGATAGCCTGGTGGTCCACTACTATAGCACGTTACCCGGTAAAGCGGCAGTAACCCCCTTTGTGTTAGTATGTTGATGTAAATGAACGCGTTGCCTCCACGAGTACGTCCGAGTCTCCGTTTGAGCCCACTACACGAGTAACGAATTGGCACGTTCTGTTTAGGTGACAAACCTTACTAATTGGCTTGTGTCGGGTGGTGGCGGGTTTAACGACACATTTGTATTTACGCGATCTAACCCCAAAAAAAAACTATATTATGACAAAAAATATCTGAATAGTTTTTCAACACAGCAGTGTGATTGTTAGATGCTGCAAAGTCGTCAACCTCAGTGCTTACGCGCAGTGGCCAGCAGAGGGCTGCAGGGCTTCGCAGCAATTGCCATAATGTACTGTAATTCTTGATTTGAAGCTTTCGTGACTGCAGGAATCCATACTCTTTGGTTCTTACGGTAAAATCACGTAGGTAGAAAAATAAAATAATGAATAACAAAAAAATTTACCTACGTGACTTTACCGAAAGAACCAAAGAGTATGGAAATATATAATTATTAAACCAAAATAATATCAATTGATTATTGAATAAAATTGGTGCGGAATTTTTTAGTGTGGTTATACCCTCGAATCCATGGTGGTGTTATGCATACTATCACACAAAACCAATCTCTCAGCAACGGAATTGACTAAACATCCCAATGCAAGTCCCTGTCATGAGACTCGGGAGACGCGTTCCTGGGTATAAAGGACGTCGTCGTTCTTATCATAATAGCAGCGGTGGCGCAGTGGTGAACTCACTGACTCCCGGCCACGGCTAACATCACTGGCCAGTGATCTCTGAACAATCCTTAGGGCACCGATCACCAACCCGCACGAACCAGCACGGCGAAATGTGGCCAAACAATCTCCATTACTGACACGGTGTGGGGGGGGGACCCATCCAGGAGGGGATTAACAAAGAGCTGATATTATTTTGACTTTACCGAAAGAACCAAAGAAGATGAATCCTTGCAGTCACGAAAGCTTTAAATCGAAATATTTTGGTTTAATTAATTATCCATCATTATTCACTTATTTTCGCAACGCACGTAGCCAACCGTGCTAATCAGATGTGCGGGTTAGCTTGGTTAAAGTAGTCTAAAGAACACCCTGTATGAGGGCTTCATTAGTGCAAGACATTTCATGGCTGCACCTTTGTTTTATTCGTTTTATTAAAACAAATATATCCCTTATTACACCCTGGCTATAAACAGCGCGAGATGTCAAGAGAATTCGTCTTCACTGCATAAATGAATAAAAAATTCTCACCGATGGAGGGAGCCCTTTAGCCGGGCAGCAAGGCAAATGTGGCAACACATTTTATTTACGGACTTTAATTCGAATATTTCATGAACCTGGCTAATAATCTCTTGAGGTGGAAAATTTGGGTCGCAAAGGTGTCTAGGGGATTAATGTATGTATGTTGAATTTCTTTCGCACAGTACACAGCAAACCGTGCTAATCGGAGTTGCGGGGAAGGACAACAAACTAAACACAAAATTAGTCATATTCTTGGTTCTTTCGGTAGCTTTCAAAACAAAAGCAGTTCTAAAGAAATTCGTTTTCAATCAAAAATGTTTCATGGGGCACTTTGTGGAAGTGCTGACCAATAAACATCTGCTAACCCAATTGCATTCGTTTAACACGTTAGACATTGCCGCTGATGAGACCCAAACGGTTGACACCCGTCCAAAGTTGTGTTTGCTTAAACAAATGCTGCTGCTTATTCTTAGCTCTTTCGGTAAAGTCACGTTGAAGGGAAACAATAAAATAATAAAATATATATAACAATAAAAATTCTCACGTTTCGACCGTAACACAAACGATCATCATTATGGTCGAAACGTCTTGAGAATTTTTATTATTTTAGATATATTTTATTATTTTATTTTTTCTCTTCAACGTGACTTTACCGAAAGAGCTAAGAATATGAATTACTGCAGTCACGAAAGCTTTAAATCCAAATTAAATGCTGCTGCTGTTTAAAATATTGGTCTGGAATGTCAATAGGTTGATAGGACTAAACATAGCTATATATGTGGAGACAGAACGGAGTTGTTGATGCTGTTGTGAGCTTGTGTTGGCGGGGAGTATTGACCCAGTAAACATGCAACGTTGAGGCTGACGTATGTTAATAAATACAAACCTATAATCCGTGCTTTTTACGTGGATATGAGACAAGTGACCAGGTATGAATATTCACAATTTTGGAAGGGTCTACAAAATCTGGAAACATTTTGGGGAGTTTATTTCGGACCTGAAATATATTTACAAATACTACGACATGTGTGAAACTACTGAACATCTGTGAGAAAAAAAAGCTTCAGCGCTCATCGGATTTGTCCAGGATAAATGAAGATTCTGATGCTGTTTATACATCTTCCAGAAGATAGCGGCAGAGTATATATTTTTTCTCATCCTAAAAGTCATTGCAATAAATGTGTAAAGACTGTGTCAGCAAGTCTCAATCTGAAGACAGAGTGTGAGCGAGACTGGATGCAAAGACAAGGCGCCAGCAAGTCTGGAGGATCTTGGTTTGGGAAATTCCCCCAGAGTGTCCAAAATAGACGGCTGGGGAAATTCCCCCGGAGAATCCACGAGAATAAAAGCCAGGGCAAGAAGGGAATTTCGGGGCTGTCGAGAGAGGAACTCGGGCCATCGTCGCTGTCTTCACGTCGTCCCTGTCTGCTCGGTCACGCGATCTCCACGTCGGCATTATCTCGTGACTACGTGGTCCTAAGCCACGTTACGTGCAATAAAATAAACCTCTAATAGTTCGAGTCAGGAGTCGTTACAATTACAACGACATCCAGGATTCAGTTGCGGCCCTCTTCCAGAAGTCTCGGTGGGGCTCTTCCGAACCTGGAAGTCAATGCGATGAATGTCTTCCGCGCGTTCAGTTGGGAAACCAGAGGGGATGGCATCTTCCAGAAGATTCGGTGGAGCTCTTCCGAACCTGGAAGTCAATGCGATGAATGTCTTCCGCGCGTTCAGTTGGGAAACCAAAGGTGGGGTGACATCTTCCAGAAGATTCGGTGGAGCTCTCCCGAACCTGGAAGTCAATGCGATGAATGTCTTCCGTACGTTCAGTTGGGAAACCAGAGGGGATGGCATCTTCCAGAAGATTCGGTGGAGCTCTTCCGAACCTGGAAGTCAATGCGATGAATGTCTTCCGCGCGTTCAGTTGGGAAACCAAAGGTGGGGTGACATCTTCCAGAAGATTCGGTGGAGTTCTTCTGAACCTGGAAGTCAATGCGATTAATGTCTTCCGTCCGTTTGGGTGAGAATCAGAAGGGGGCGACATCTTCCGGAAGTGGAAGAAGGGTTGCCATTGTACGTAAGTACGCAGTTTTCCTGTGTACGTGCAGCAGTTAAACTCGTACAGTATTTTAAAACGAGTACATTCATTTTTAAATAACACGTTTGTAGATTGGAATACGTTGTTGGGAATGTATACACGAAGACTGAACTTTTAAATATATACTGTGTTTTATTGGCGTTATACTTCGGTGTTAGGCCTGCATGCTAGGCGAGGCGTTTCGGTAAACTGGGAAATTACACTAAAAACCACAGAGCTACATAATTAAAGTCTGTGATAACATTATAACTGTGGTATTCGTACGTCCTATTGTATCGCCGCGCTAGCCTATCATCCCTCAAGAGTAGTTTGAGTAAATATATTGTATTCATTGAATCTTAAAGGGCAAAATAAGCTCTTAAGCTATATCATGGGCGTCCCGTGACTGTACAGATGTTATACAATTTACACTTTAGGGAGTCAACAGTGGTTGTCATACACACAAACTTGCTTCCGTCATGTTAACGTGGAATTTCCACCACTGGCTCGGGGTCACCAACGGAGATGAGCGGTGGCTCCTTTTGCTCGATTGTGTGGTCAGGAGATTTGTGTTTACACTTCGCATTATACATTTAAAGTCTGCGACGCTTACAGCTTTGTTTATATACTCATTCACATCCCTTCTGTTAAACCACTGCTGGATGAAGGCTTTTTTATGTTGTGTAGGTTACGGGGGTTGTTTGACTATACAGTACTTCACGATCAGTGCGGGTTATTGAAAGGGTTGGGGAGCGGCTGGTGGGTGGCGCCTTGGGATCTGTTCTCATCACTTGCCACTGACGCCAGCCGTGGCCAGAAATCGCACTCGGATTATCAGTTTTTCGTTCTGCGTTATGCTCATCACTGCGCCACCACTCTTGCCAGACTACATTTGCTAACTTAAATCTTTGAAAACCATATACGTATCAAATGATGTGTAAACTTTATACGGTATGATCAATTTAATCAACGCACCGGTTCACAGGAATTTAGGACGAGGACGATAGTTTGCCTTTGGTACCTGCCACGGAGTGAAAAGACACGATGGGATGCGATGGAGGAACCATTCCCAAGAGACACGAGCTGGTGAAGGGGCCTAAGAAGAAGGCACAGGTAGGGAGTGGGATTACTCCCGATGATGACTTTCCTCACTGGTGTCTGAATCCATGGCTCACCTGTCTCATGAGGCTGCCAGAGTGGCACAGTGGTAACACTCGTGCCACAACTTGGGCACGTCTATGTGTGGAGTTTGCATGAGGCATGACGGTGGCGAGATGTTAACTCTCTCGCCTAGGATGCAGGGTTCATAGGTTGGATCCCCACCCTGACGCCTGTATATTTGGAGTTTACATGTCCCCTTGGTTACGTGGATTTTTCCCCACCTCTTCTGGTTTTTCCCTCCACATAAACATCCGTTTAGAGTATTTGGCTGCTATAAATTTCCATGCAAAAAGCATCTTCATTGAACTATCATTTGCGGCCAGGTCACTTCTGAAAAATAGCTATGTAGCTCAGTTGGCCTTACCTAGTAAAATAAAAAATAGTTTTGGTGAAAGTTTTTGTACTCCCCTGTTCTGCGTCAGTTTCCTCCGTGTCTGCTCCCATCGCAAAAAACAATGTCATTGGTGCTGGCCAAACATCCCAATGTAGGACCCTCCTGAAAAAGTCTGGACTCAATTTTGACTTAAAACTTTCGTGACTGCAGGAATTCTGGACTTTATTGGGTAAATAATAACAATTATTGTTATAACTGCCCGATCAAATGTCCTTAAATTTTCTTCTAACAATATTGTATCTTTATGCACTCAATCAAGTGCCTTTTTTATTGTCTGCAAAGGCTACATATAATGCTATTTGATATTTATTTTTTCCAGAATTTGATAATCTGTTTGTCGTAAATGCTAGAGACCCCTTTATTAAACCATACTTGGCTTTGTGGTTTGTTGCCCTCAAAATGTGCCATTGTTTTGTTCAGAATTATGTTCATAAACAATTTATACAGAGGAGATCATTCTTAAAGTGATGAAGGTAGAATATCACAGTTAGTGGAGGAATGTTATGCAGATGTATTTACACGTTTGTACCGGCGCATGTGTGTGTGTACCTACTTATCTTCCGTTGTGCAGAATGACAAGGATGCGGACCTGGCGGCACGCTGGTTTTATTGCGCGCTGAGTCAGCAGCCACTTCGTCCCCCTATAGTGGCCTGTGAACTCGGCAGGTGAGCAGGAAGAGAGGAGGGGAGCAAAGGAAAGCAGAGAATTAAGGGAGCCAGAAGAGTGGAGAACACAAAACAGTCTGACGTGTGTGTGTGTGTGTACGTACACTTGTCAGTGTATGGGCGTATGCATCTAAACAACATTTATATCATGTGTCTATGATCTAAATACAATCTCATCTAAGGATGCTTTACAATTTTTTTTCTACATAATAGTAGTCAGGATAGAGAAACATGGGTGAGAGAGAGCAACACTACAGCACGGACCGGATAGAAGCAACAAGGGTCCCAGCACTGACAACAGAAAGAGCTTAAGGGACAGCCAAGGCAGCAGTAACAAGCCCCAGGGCATCCTCATTAAGACATTCAGCAAATTAATGTTGTGGCATTTCTCGTTCTGGTATGCATGATTGTTAAGTCAGATGGTGCACCGCTTAGGATACGTGGCTCGCAATAGAAAAGTTGCGAGCCAAAATCCTGGTTGATATTTAACTCGGTTGATATGCGGGCCATAATGCAGGAAGTAAAACATGTGTATCCTTTAGATAGACTTACGCCTGTCGTGGGAATGTGATGTTTCCACAACTGGCTCAAAGCTGTCAACTGGAGTTAAACTATGTACCAAAATTAGTGGAGTGAGAAACCACTGTGACTTTAATTTTTGACTGTGTATTTCTGCACATTTGATGCGTGCGTGTGTAAGCTTTATTCATAAAATCAGTACCTGTTGCAGTGTGTAATCATCAGCACTTGGGATGCTGACTACACCCCCCACCCCCTTGTGTCCATACTGCCCATAAGCACTTGCCCGATGAGTCTATTCAAGGTTTTTTGGGGATCTTTGTGTGCAGGCTGTATAACAAGGATGCCGTCATTGAGTTTTTGCTGGAGAAGATTTCGGAGAAAGTAGCTGTGGAGACTTCTGCTCACATCCGCACCCTCAAGGTACGCACATGCGTGTTGCACGTCACGACCTGTTGTGGCTGTATGCCCACATGTGCCCCTGGGCATGTCTACACCTGTCCCTTTGTGTATGGGGCATTATTGAAATGTGTCCCCATGTGTTCTCATGTTGGCCCCAACCATCTCCGCATATCCCCCATTTGTATGGCGTTTTACGGGTGTGTGTTTCTTGTCTCCCGTGTTTCCCCACGTCTTTGCAGGACTTGACCGAGCTGCGCCTGACGGAGAACACGCTGTGGCAGGGCGAGCATGCACACAGCAAGGGCGGCCAGACCCCCAACATCCCCGCCCCACGTTTCTGCTGCCCCCTCATCGGCCTTGAAATGAACGGGCGCCACCGGTCAGTGCCACAAACACAGCAGCAGCAATAATAGCAGCAGCAGTAGTAGCAGTATCAGAAGCAATATCTACATCAATAGCTACAACAATAACTAAAGCAGTAGCAATATCTACAACAGCAGCAATAGGAACGTGATCATGGTAAAGTGACCACTGTTAACAGCAGATGGCAACATGAGCCATAGTATCATGTGTATGTATGTGGGTCTAAAGGAGCAGTGACATGATGGGCATTGCACTGAGTTATTAACCCAGCAACCTGAGTCGGTTGTGGGCCTCCCCTAGGTCCAGCTATACTACCTGGGAGGTCTTGTGTAAATAATATATGATGGTGAAGGTGACTTAGCCCTCACGGGGTATATAGTGGGTTGTGTAAAACGTGAGACCTTGGGAGACAGACAGAAGGGCATGGTCCTGGCCGCAACAATCTCTCGTGTGCCATGTCGGCCCGAATAGGTGCTCTCTAACAGGACTTACCCCAAACAGTCTAGTAAGGCGTATGTTTTTGTCAGTCAATGTGATCCTTTGCTTTTCAACTTAGTGATAACCCATTGTGTCAATTGTGATGGTATACCTGCAGGTTTGTGTTCATTCGGGGATGTGGCTGCACTTTCTCCGAGCGAGCTCTCAAGGAGATAAAGTCCAACGCCTGCCTCAAGGTAACGCAACACCATGGGCCTGCGCTTGGACAGAGTTTTAAGGCAGTGGTGGAGAACCTATGGCGCACGACCTCCCTTCACTCGGCCCGCAGCCAAATGATTACAGCCTGCAAATGATAATAGCACGTCGTTACAAGCATCTGAGCTGCACTAATCGGGTACTAGAGGGAAATATGTTCAAGCTGGCAACAAAGCTGTTGCTAATTTTAACACTGTGCCCAATCACTAAATTAATGTGTTAATGTGTGGTTGCCCGCTGAAGTAATTTTTTCACCCTTGGGAAGCAAACGGTTCCCCACCGCTGAGCTCAAGGAGACACACGATGGCACACACGATGGCACGCACGTGCAACACGAGGACAGCATAGAGGGCTAACACGATGATATAGTCATAATGAGGTGTGCTATGGTCAGTGTGGCGTGACATTTCAGGACGACGATGTTGTGGTGCTGAACAGCTCCGCAGAGGAGGTCAAGCAGCTGAGGGAGCGCATGCTCGAGCGTAGAGAACGTGCCAAGATTGAACGGGTAGGCACGGCGGTGACGCCAGCACCACCAGCACCACCAGCACCATCAGCAGCACCACCACCTGCATTATCAATAGCGTCATGAATATCAGCACTACCACCACTGATCACGAGTACCTCTAGCACAACTACCTTCAGCATCACCGGTATCAGCAGCAGCGATTCCCAGTGCTCATGACCAACAGCAGTAGCATCCGCATCAACATTTTAAGCAGCACCACTACTGTCATAATGAAGATCATCAGCACCATCACCTCCATCATCACCAATAATGCATCAGCAGCAGCAACAGGAGGATGGGCATTAAAATATGAACAGTACCACCACTTTAATCACCAGAAATATCAACATCACCACTCGCAGCAGCATAACCACCTCCACCAACATCATCAGCATCTTCGTCACCTGCAGTGGTACCAGTACTCAGCACCAGCGCTAGGATTGAGATACAAATCTGAAGTAAAATGGGATGTTTTTAGACTTGAGTCAATAATTATGTGTGTTCCGAGATAATTGTTGTGATATCCCCATCTGTTTCTGCAGAAACTGAAGAGGGTGAAATCCAATGGCTCACAGAGCACTAAAGCACTTGAAGGTACACTTGCTCAGGCACGTGATCGCTGTTTAGAAAAGTACATCCTCAACTTACTGGGCTAAGTCAGTTGTGGGTTGTCCTGGTATATTCCTGTTCCTTTACAAAGTCCTAATTTTTTGCCACAACTTAATTTAACCTTTGATTTAAAGCTTTCGTGACTGCAGGGATTCATATTCTTGATTCTTTTGGTAAAGTCACGTAGAAGGGAAACAATTTATTTGTTTTATATTTTTATTATTTTATTGTTTCCCTTCTACGTGACATTACCGAAAGAACCAAGAATATTAATTTAACCTATTTATAGTTTGTAATATATTGCTTTTCATGTTGCTTCAAATTAGCACGGTTGGCTACATGCGGTGTGAAAGAAGTTCTAAATACATACAAACCACTGAAAATCACAAGCCAATTCTGAAAGGCACAATCCAATGCTACAGTACTGTAATATACAGTATGAAACTGGATACAATGATAATAATTGTTATGGTGAATATAATTCACAAAATTAGTTATTTGATATGCCTGTTTCCCGTATTTGTCTCCACACAATTTTTAAAAATGTATACATCCCATCAGATACACGGCCTTCTAGCAGTGCATTTTTCAGTAGTATTGGTACAACACAAGCAAACTCTGGATCGGTTTGACATTGTGTCACAGCAACAGTTAGGCTTGCTTGAAATAATGCTGGTGAAACAATGCTGCCAGATATGTATAGGCAAGTACCGTTTTAACTGAGACTGCCTAGCACATCACATTTTTATTAGAGGCACTCGCTCTCTCTGATAGTCGGACCAGGTGGTTAACTTAGGGTCGTCCTTGTGTACGCGTGCGTATGTTACAGAGCCAGGCACATCCGCTCATGTCTTCAAGAGACCTTGGCCTGTGGCAGCAAGTCCTGCGGTGGAGGAGGTGGGGCTCAGGGCGGAGAAGGTTGCACGCCTCCCCGTGGAGAAGGTTGGCCCTACTGTGGAGGAGACCCACCTTTCAGTGGAGAAAGTTGGCCCCACAGAAGAGAAGGTTGGCCCTACAGAGGAGAAGCTTGGCACCACAGAGGAGAAATTGGCGGCGGGGTCCGCAGGAGAGGTGAAGAATGGCAAGATGCCTGCCGGCAAGCAAGGACGGGAGGGGAAGCGAGCGGTGGGGGCTGAGGACACAAAGACGGACAAGAAAGACGCGAAGCCCTGCTCGGAGACATACAAGTCCCTGTTCACCTCTCACAGCTCGGCCCAGAAGGAGACGGCTCACTGGGTCACCTACAATCCCTACTACAATTGAGCTCGAGTGTGTTTTCGTTACATATACATGCACGAACACGCTCACGCACATCTTCCCCAAACCCTCGGAGCACTGGAAGATATTTCAGCATTTATGGATGTAGTGGAATGTTTCCTAAGTTTTTATTGATCTCCCGGTGTGGCAGTTTGAACATGAGTCAATTTTCATAAATCCACCCCCTACCCCGCCTCTGTCTACCCAGCAGTGTGGCTCGGTACACCAGTCACTCTGCAAATTCTGTGTGTGTCCATCGTGGAAGAGCAGGCCAAAATAACCTGTAGAGGGCCTCTCCAGAGCTCCCTCAAGTGGTGCCCCTTGCTCCAGCAGTAACATGAGCAGGGCTGCACCTTTTCATCTTGAGCAATACAAGTTAATGTTAGATTTGGAGTGGTGGCATAGTGCACTGCACAATGAAGCCCGTGCCTGAGTTGTATTCCTGGCCGTGGCTAACAGTGATTAGTGATATCTAAGCTGGTCCTGAGCATCCCGTCAACTTTGCCAACCAGCATTGACTATACTTCACCATGTGAAGTACAACCCCCATGACTGACGCAGCATTGGGAGGGCTTCATCTCACGGTGAATTGACAAAGGTGCTGTACATTATTAAATTAATGGATGAAAATAAGACGATACTCTTTTTCAATATGCTTACGAGTTATGATTGTGTCTTTTTATTCTCAACATATTTCCATCAGGAAACATTGTAATTGTTCCATGAAGAGCCTGGGACTTGTTGAGCCTCTCTGAATAAAGAACATTGCTGTAATTATGCAGTCCTGTGTTCAACTTCCTCCACACGTCTGTGCTTTTTTCTTGCAGAAAGATAAAGGAGTTAATTCACATGAATTACAGCATAAACCCGTGCTTTCAGTTTAATGTTATGTTGAATTCACTTAACCACAATCCTTTCGGTTTTGTTTCATTCTTTCAAGTAGCGAGTAAAATATAAGTTGTCAAGTGTTTTAAGACTTCAGTTGTGCATTTATCATATAGGCTTGGTTCTGTCATCTGTTGACTAACATCAACATTACATTTATATAGTGGCCACCAGGGTGAAAACTTGAATGTGTTAAGGTCCTGTGGTTGAAACGTCTAGAGAATACCACTGGATGGTGTGTGTGTGATCCTTGCATTATTGATTATCATATTCACGGCTAAACCACGTGAATTCCATTCCCGTTACAATGAAGGAAACAAGAAGATTCTATTTGGATATCTTGCAGATCAGTGTAACGTCGCGTGAGATAACGGCCCACAGAAGTGGATATCACAGTTGCGTGGTTCACAAAGTAGGGGGCAGCACTACCTACCACCGTTAGGAATGCATGCGTCAACATTTAATTCTCGCATTTGGAATGTATCACTTTGTACAGGGCCAGATTTTAAGCGCTGGTTGTTGGGTGCAGTCAATGGTGGCCAGGTTGAGACAATCTACTTGCAGACCCTTTTCGGGAATATGGCCAATTTAATGAAATCTGATTCAGCTCTCTGTTTATTTTGGTTAAGGCCTTTTGAGCTAAAGTATATTTTAATGTTAAGTGCAATTGAAATTGATAAAGCAATTGTGCAAATCTTGATTTGAAGCTTTCGTGACTGCGGGAATCCATACTTTTTGGTTATTTTGGTAAAGTCACGTAGGTATAAAATAGAATAAATCACGACGTTTCGGGCGCAACACAAGCGTCCATCAATTGTGTAAAACAGCTCAACACGTATTATAGTGACGTTTTTATTTTTACTCAATGTTTCGTAGTTATTGTTTTGTTCTTTCGGTAAAATCAGGTTGATAGAAAAAAATAAAATAAAAAATATAAAAACGACGACGTTTCGATCGCAACACAAGCGATCATCTTTTTTCAGGGGGAAAGAAGGGGAAGGTCACAGAAGGCGGCCGCTTTTAAAGGCTTCAAAGAGGTGTGGGCGTGGCAAAAGCGCTCCGGCGGCGGCGTGGAACATGCAGGGCCACCAAACGTATGGGTGTCAGAACGAAGTGGGCGGGGCATATGTTCCCTGGGTAAGGTAACAAGCAAACACAAATCAAAGTCATGACTTGACCTGTGCTCCCTTAAGAAAAACAAAACAAGTCATGACCCAAAGTAGTTGATGTCATCTTTCCAATGATTGCTGAGTTTGTAACCAATCTTGTCGGTTGAAATTGTGTCTCTGTCTGTATATATGGATGGCTTCGTGAACGAATCTTTGTTGATAACCAGTGGACTTGCAATGTACCATCGTCTGAGAGAAATCAATTTCGTGTGAGCCAGCGCGCATTAAAATAATGATCAGCCACGGCAGAAGTATTGGTCATACCGTGTTTCAAATCTGCCTTATGCTCACGAACACGGTCCGAGACATGTCGCTCAGTTTCCCCAATGTAACTGCTTCCGAAGATACGGCTGAGTTTGTCGTCACCGGGATATTGCATGTCAGGAATCTTGTCCTTCACAGATTGGATCAGATCACGAATTTTATGTACTATGTAAAATCGGACCTGGATCTTGTGTTTCTTCATGATTTTGGAAATATCTTTTGTTACCCCTGCAGTGTATGGCAAGGTGATGGTTTTATATATTTTTTTCCATCTATGTGACTTTACCGAAAGAACCAAAGAATATGAATTCCTGCAGTCACGAAAGTTTTAAGTCAAAAGTTGCATAGCTATTTAACAATATTAATATACAGTAATTAAAATAACAGCTACTTCAATACAAACTGCAGGGTGATCCATTTATAGAGAACCCGCATTTCTATTGACCCACTGAGTTGAACGTGGACTTGATGTTCGATATTTTACAGAGGAGAGTGTCAAGATGTAACAAGTGCATTGAGATTGGTGGGAGACGTAGAGTCTTTAAGTAAATGCATTTTGTTTATGTTTCTTATAAATAATTTCAGTGGGTAATCTACAAATGGATCGCCCTTGTGGAGGGCCTTTCGCCATCACTGGCCGTGTGAGACATTTTAGGACTGCATCTGTACCCTTGAAACTGGCTATACATGGACTCATTACTTACGAACGAGTTATGTTCCAGAGGATTGTTCGTAAGTCGATTTGTTCATAAGTCCAACTTTATTCCTGTCGATTCCAAACATGTAAGGCATATACAATAAACACGGGGAATGGTTTTAAAAGTTGTATCATCTGCAGATGTAGATGCCACTGGTTCTTCATTGCATTGCTTTATCCTACATTAACATTAGGTGCCCCGCCCATGCTGTTGACACTTGGGCTACGCCCATCTCTAATTTGCCTTTAGAGGCTAACCCCCCTTTTCCCGATGACGACCGCTTGTGTTGCGATCGAATCGTCGTGGTTTTAAAAAATATTTTGCATTTTATTTTTTATTATATTTCAATTGGGACCTCCTTTGCCAGTACCAAAATATGAGAATAGGTTTTCCACTTTTTTCTGGCAACAAATCTGGTGTTAAGATGTTAAAACACCAAACTGAAACCTTTTACAAGGAATCATGTCTGCATTAACCACAATACTTGTGGTCAGAATGCCAATAAAAAATACTCTGATAATATATGCATTTCGATTTAAAGCTTTTGTGACTGCAAGGATTCATCTTCTTTGGTTCTTTCGGTAAAGTCACGTAGAATGAGAATAAAATAATACATTGTGAGAATATTATTGTGTTATTTTATTTTATCAATTTATTATTTTATTCTCATTCTACGTGACTTTACCGAAAGAACCAAAGAAGATGAATATATGCATTGTCTTTGAAACTGATTGGTCCACACCAGAGACAGCTTTCTTTTTAGCCTAGTCTCAAACGGTGTAAGACCAGAGGACGCCAAATATAATGTAGACTTATTCATGGTTATTTCAGTAGGCCTTTTGGTGTCCTCTGGTCTAACCGTTTGAGATGAGGCTCAGAAGAAAGCTGTCTCTGGTGTGGACCAATCAGTTTCAAAGACAATGCATATATTATATTCTTGGTTCTTTCGGTTAAGTCACGTAGAAGGGAAACATTCATATAATAAAAATATAAAACAATAAAATTCTCACGACGTTTCGACTGCAACACAAGCAATCATCATAAGGTGTGAAAACCACACGAAAATTTGAAGAAAGTGGCGGTTTTTTAACGTTAGCACCACGGAGAGCGATTTGACAGTTATTCAGATGGACGAGTCCATCTATGTTCGGAAAAGAGGAGCGGGGAGACGAAAAATAATGGATGAGGTTTGAAAGCCACCTTAAGCGTGATCAATCAATTAAGACCCGAAATGGTTTATCAAATCCTTCCAATGATTGCTAAGCCAGAATCCATCTTCTCGGTTGAAATTGTCTCTGTGTTTGTATATGTGGATAGCCTCATGAACGAATCTCTCATGGTAGCCAGATGGCTTGCAAAGAACCTTTGTCTTGGAGAAGTCAATGTCATGTGAACCGACTGAATTATAACAGTGATCTACCACGGCCGAGGTGTTGGTCCTACCGTGTTTCAGGTCTGCTTTGTGTTCACGAATGCGGTCCGAGACATGTTTGGTTTCTCCAATGTAACTACTACCACAGAGGCAACTTAGTTTGTAGATGCCAGGGTACTTGTATGTCCGAAATCACATCTTTAACAGACAGAACCAGATCACGGATTTTATGTAATGTTCTTGTTGTGGTTTTCACACCTGATGATGATTGCTTGTGTTGCAGTCGAAACGTCGTGAGAATTTTATTGTTTAATATTTTTATTATTTTATTGTTTCCCTTCTACGTGACTTTACCGAAAGAACCAAGAATATGAATCCCTGCAGTCACGAAAGCTTTAAATAAAAATGTAATGCATATATTATTCATAATAAAGGTTTTTGGGTTAGATCGCGTTTATTTATAAATGTGTCGTAACCCTCCACCACCCGACACGGCCAATCAGCAAAAAAAGTGTCACGTTGACAAAAGACAAATAATTCACTACTTCAGCCCACCGGTGTGTTGAAGAGTGAATCCACATTTACAGTTTGAGTACGACGTTTCGCTGGTAAATACTTCCAGCATCATCGGGCAATTCGCCAGAATGGTAAAGCCCTCGCTTGCTAATCGATTATATAATTACATTACCCCCCCCTCCGCCTCTAATCACTGCACCTGATGAGTTAAGTGATGACGTCACCCTGCTGCTCTATATAAAACCGGGAGCAAGCGAGGGCTTTACCATTCTGGCGAATTGCCCGATGATGCTGGAAGTATTTACCAGCGAAACGTCGTACTCAAACTGTAAATGTGGATTAACTCTTCAACACACCGGTGGGCTGAAGTAGTGAATTATTTGTCTTTTGTCAACGTGACACTTTTTTTGCTGATTGGCCGTGTCGGGTGGTGGAGGGTTACGACACATTTATAAATAAACGCGATCTAACCCAAAAACCTTTATTATGAATAATATTGGTCGCGAAAGCCTACGTGTTAAAATGCATATATTATCAGAGTATGTTTTTTGTTTGCATTCTGACCACAAGTATTGTGGTTAATGCGGACATGATTCCTTTTAAAGGGTTTCAGTTTGGTGTTTTAACATATTAACACCTGTTTTGTTGCCAGAAAAAAGGGGGAAACATTCTCATATTTAAATTACTGAGAGAACCAAGAATATGTCTACATTATAGACTGCCAGAACGCTCGCTCAGGTTAAGAACCAGGCTACAGTCTACATTATATATTGCCAGTACACTCAGTCCGATTAAGAACTAGGCGACAATCTACATTAGTGATTTTTTGTTTATTATTATTTATTTTAATTCACTTTATTTTTTTATTATTTTTCTATCTACTTGACTTTACCGAAAGAACCAAAGAATATGGTTCTTCGTGTTCTGCAGACGTCGATGCCACCACCGCCTATTGCGCGGTGGTTGAACTTACGACTCTCGGTCCGAATATGCAAATAGACGTACGGACAGGTTTGTTCGTATCTCTGAAAGTTCATAAGTCGAATATTCCGTAAGTAGAGGAGTACCTATAATTGGATCACCCTTTTCAAAGCCAAAAACCTCCAATCTGGCATGGTATTCCGAAACCAATCCCAGCTGTTATTATAAACCACAGTTTACACAATCTCGAACGAACGATTCCAGTCGACAATTTCTCCACTGACCGAATCGGCGCGAAGAATCGATTCCCTTCAAAGCCCCAAGACAATTGAACCAACGTAACGATTCCCCGACGCTACACTAGTAAAGGGAAATCGATTGACCGCTGACCACCCGGTCACGTGAAGGAATCGATCTGGAAGTTAACCGCTATATAGAATCGAATCCCCGGCGAGGCAGAAAGAGTACGTGGCGATGGCGGAGACAGACCTGAACGCGACTCTCGCCGTGGCCGAGGCAGCGGTGAACGCCACGACCAAGGTGCCCTCCACGCCCGAGGGCGTCGCACTCGCCTATGGCTCCCTGGTCGTCATGGCGCTGCTGCCCATCTTCTTCGGTTCCCTGCGCAGCGTCAAGTCTGCAAAGTCCAAGGTGAGAGGCGCGGCATCACCCCCCCCCCCAGGCCTCGACCACGACCACGGTCTCGCCTAAGGGCGCCTACCCGGGGAGGCGAGCGTCACGCGGCGGGGTCCCCGCAGAGCGACGGTGCGGGGCATTATTGCGCCGGTTTGCGTAGGCCGCGCACCATATGTGTGTGTGTGTGTTGAATTGTCCTCGGTATTATTAATCGGTGGCCGTGGTCAATCCACTGCTGGATGAACTGCATCCGATCCCGCGATGTAAACATTCACACGAATTGATTTCGTGTGTTCGTCTATCCGCCGGTCGACACGTTGGGTTCCGTTGCTGTCACTCCGTCGTTAGCATCGTCCCTTCAGGCCATGACGTGTCCTTTACAAGCCCACTCGCTTTTCTCATCAGTGTGTTGTTTTTTTTTGTTAACTTGTATAATTAGCCAGCATGTGTGTTTTCTAGAACCCGTATGGTTCCTGTTTCTGCGTCTCGTTAGAATGCGTTAACGTTTGAAATTGGAAATGAAAAACGGTTCTGTTAATTTAGAGTGAATATTGCGTGTGGTTTTTTTTGTCACTGTTTGATTTAATGGCAGGTCGCAGCAGGTGTGTGTGTGTAAATAAGTCTGTGCCGTCCCTTGTCAAATTATGCTCGGGTTATGAAAGAGAGGTGTGTCTTCTAAAAGTATACCCAAGTAAATAAAAAAAAGTTACATTAGTTGGTTATCCTTTTAAAAGACTCGCCCTGTATTAGCCATTCCTTGGCTGCCATTCCGTTATTATTCTTGACCATTGGCCATCATTCCTTCAAGCCATAACGTGACCTGCCCAATCCCACTTATTTGTCTTAACAGTTTGAATTAGAGAGTGTCATTAATTCACGTGTACCTGTTTTTATCTCAATATAATGTGTTTGACAATTAAATACGTCTGCCTTACTATTAATTATATTAAATAATTTTATTTCTAACATAGTACCACTTGTGGTCTAGAAAGGCTAAGTATTTGATATGCATTGGTCCTGGTCAGAATGATTGATAGTAACGCATTTAACTCAGTGGGAAACTGATACAGTCATCCAAGCTGTCAAAACAGACGTAATTTTTAAAAACACATACAACAAGGATACAAATAATTTTTACAAGCATAGAGCAGCTGCGCTGAGTTTCCATGAGGAGAGTAACAATAAAAAAAATCTGTAAGGAGATAAGCGATCAAAATGTATTCTCAGGAACAAAGATGATGAGAATACATTTGAGGAATATTGGAGAAACAACGACATATATAATACATATAATGTCCCATAAATGTAATTTTATGGTGACAGTCACTTTAAGTACCAATGGATATCAATTAGAGGAATTGATTTTGGATTAAAAGTGAAAATATTTTATGAAAATTGAATCTATATTTTTGTATGGACAAAACATCAAAGCAGTATGTATGCCTCGGGTAGTTATTTTACGTGGACTGCGATCTAGAGCAGATTGGTGTGTATTTGTAAACTTTAACTTCGCAATATACCAATTTGCCCAAAGAATAAAGTTTTCAGTCGGTGCAATATTCACTGGAAATGTGAACACTATGAAAATATAGAGCTACGACTGTGAAAAGAGGTACGGAGAGGTACATCCTTGTAATTCCACTGAGAAGCAGATGCAAAAAATATACACGAATTACAGACATCTTAGCGCTTGTTGAGAAAAGTAAAGGGGTTTGTACAAGACACATTCACTAGCAGGCATGACAGCCAATGAATGAGACTAGTGATGGAATGGCAGGCAAAGGAAAAAAAATGCCTGGGAGCGTGACCACCAGAGAGGTGGAGTGATGAGATCAGGCCTCGTTCAGTTCAGGAGTTAGATATATTATTATTATAGCACGAGACCATGTGGTAGGGCAACGACTTTTGGGGACTTTTATCCAGCAATAGATAGACTGTGGCTGCTGATGGCACTGTTGGTAATAAGAATGAAGTACACCATACATTTTTGTCTTAAATTACCATTAGATTCGCAGTAAATGTGTTATCTTTAGACATTACTTCATATGATATTTCATTTCAGTCTACTATATACAGCGTTTGAGATTTGAATTTCAAGGAAAGTACACTAGTTAGGTTTTAACTGTATAATATATCAAGCTTTGTGCTCTTACCCATTTTGAAGGCCGTGGCTGGTGAAATATTTACATTTCAAACGAGGGAAGTTGTATTACTCTCTGCTTCTTTCGGTAAAGTCACGTAGATAGAAAAATTAAGAAAAGAAAACACGACGTTTCGGTCGCAACACAAGCGTCCGTCTTCAGGTGACTACCGAAAGAACCAGAGAGTGTGGATTCCTGCAGTCACGAAAACTTCAAATCAAGACGGAAGTTGTATTGTCAATAGTGAACATTTGTGAAAGCAATACAGTAAAATACATATAATAGCAATTAGTCGTATATGATAGCTATTTACCTGGGAGAAAACATTTCTGTGATTTGGGTATTTTTCAAGATAATCATGTGTAGAATCTTGGTCATTCCTTTCTGAATATTTTTTGTATTACTTGTGAGATCAAGCAATTACAGTCGTATATGATAGCTATTTACCTGGGAGAAAACATTTCTGTGATTTGGGTATTTTTCAAGATAATCATGTGTAGAATCTTGGTCAAATTCCTTTCTGAATATTTGCTTAATTACTTGTGGGAGGAAGCGAGAGTGGCCACAATATAGAAATAAAACTTAGCAGGTGATAGAAATAATGGGCTTTGTGAGACTGTATGACTTTACTGCTTCCTACATAAAGCAGGGTGGCATCTCGCATCACCATCAAACAAAATCTCTTGTTCAAAACAGTGGTTTAGGACTTGATCCTTGTGTGATCCAACAACCCCACCGACGAGTCTGCTAGGTTAAAAATACTCACACTCTTTTGACACACTTCTTTACAACTAACACAACCCTCAACACACTAATCACCTTTACCACACCTACTATTATCATCAGCACCATTATCACTAACTCCATTATCACCTCGACTATCATTAACCCCACCAACACTCACCACCACTACCAATCTCATCTTAACCATACTCGCCACTGCCACTCAACTTCTTCACCACGACCTTCACCAATATCACCTCCTCCACCACTAACACCTGGTAATGCCATAGGTGGCCATTACGTAACTAACACACATTGCACGTGGCGCTGTCAACTCTGGAATGGGTCACCACATTCCTCTTGGAGTGGTGCCAATGCAATCTTTGAGCTAGATTCCTTCGAGTGCATCTGGTCAGTGCCTGTCTGTGAAATCAAGAAGGAGTCATGCGCCTCCACCGTGCTGATTGGGTTTCGTGTTTTCTTTCATCAGCACTCCTCGCCCACAACTGAGCAAGCGGCCCCCGATACTCAATCGCAGACACGTGCCGCGACGATGAGCGTCGAGTTCTTAGATTGCCACCCTTTCAGCAAATTGCTCGTCCATTCAGCCGCTGTCTAACATAGTCCGATCGTTAGCTGTAAATACGATCAGAGTTTTATATTTGCCTAAAGAATTTCCAAAAATGAAGTGCTCCTTGGAAATGCGAGTTGCAAAATTTCCTTCTGCTATTAGAACTGCAGTGGCGCAGTGGTTAGAACTTTGAATGCGGCAGTCTGAATTAGTTTTTCTATTCACGTTGTGGGCCAGCGTGGTGAAGTTTGGTCAAGCAACCGGTATGATATTCAGTGTGGGCAAGTTTTTCAGTTTGAAGCAAATTGACAAAGGGCTATAAGAATATATTTGCTGAATAGGGAATTACATTTTCATCATAATGTCAAAAAACATGCCAATAAGCATACATAGCTATAAATAGTTTTAAATACATTTGATGTCCATCCCTCTTATGTTGTTCTGAATTGCAACAGTTTGCATGTTGGCTTATTTTGTTTGACTTTGAGTTTTGCATTTGACCCACTGAGCTACCCCAACGCATCTAATCTGTGCTCGTTTATAAAGCAATGTGCTTCATAGCGAGAAATAAAACCCCATTAATGAGCAGACATAAAGCAATCTTCCATATTAATAGACAGCTATTAATACGGTGTGTTTACCGGGACATTTCGTCTCAACGCACTGGCTCCTCGCCACGAGTTTTTGACACTTAATCCGTCTGAATTCGAGTCGGCCTTAAGTAGAGTGTTTAAAAAGAGGGCACTTCTTTAGGAACTTTTATTCTATATCACAACTTTGCTATCGGCGTCACGTTGTCATGAAATTACCCTTCGTGTTAGAGAATGGCCCGCAGAAAGAGATACCACTGAGCTGCTTCTGAGATCCCTTCAGGTGAATCTTGTGTACACGGTAGGGGGGGGGGACAATTATATCTCCCATGACATGTATTTCTCAATGCCAACTTGGGCAGATTTGATTTCAGATGAGAATCCTCTGTAGCTTCTGACCCCAATTTGCCAGGGCCCTTGGGTATTCCAGCATTATGATCATGAGCCACCAGTGACCTGAGTTTGACTCCTGATCAAGATGCAAAATGCTAATAGTAATTAGTGTCTAAACCTTGTCTGGGCCACCTTTAGGTCGATTCGCCCTTAAAAAAGCAAGCCTCTACCTGGACTCATTCGCTGAATATAGGCTTGCACTACTGGGTTTGTGTTTGTATCGACTACATGTCTAACTGTCTTTGAATATGTTCTCACTAAGCATCATATCCTAAACCGTGGCCCCAAACGATCGTTCAGCAGAGGAATGGAAGGGCTGCACACGACCCTCATAAACACCATCAACTGGCTCGGTAAACTGGACTGTTTTGAGTTTTTTACATTCAGCAGCACGCTAGAAGAAGATTAACCAACCCTCCGTAACGATTTGAAAAGGGTGATCTCATTTTTCTGTGTGTTTGGGTGCCTGTGCATCTATGTGACAATTATCTGAACCGGGCCTGGGCCTCCCCTAGGTCGACTCAACCTTAAATGAGTACCTAGTACGGCGTGTAATCATCGCCACTGGGGAGACATAGGCGGTCGGGCGTGGTTTTATGGCCACCAACCCCCTCGTATACCGTTCCGGCCTTCATAGGTGCTCGCTAATAGCACTTGCCCTTACAGTCTGTTAAGGCTATATGGGGGATCTTTTTCTTTGTTTGTGTGTGCATATGCATTTGTGCCTGTTTGCATCTCTGTTAGTGTGCCTATCTGTGCATCGTTGCATTCCTATGTACATGTGTGTGTCTGCCTACATGCTAGTATATTTGTGTGTATGGGGAGTGGCAGTCTCGGGGTTAGCGCACAGCGCTACGAACCCAGCAACCCGAATTCGATTCCCTCTCATAGCCAAAAACAGCGTTGAATATTTGAACCAGTCCTGAGCCCCCCCTAGGCCAACTCAGCCTTAAATTAGTACTTCGTGTGATGTGTAAACATCATCACTGGGGAGACAAAGGCGTCCGAGCTTGGTGGTGGCCACCCACCCCCTCGTGTGATTCACCGGCCCTCATAGGTGCTCGCTGACATCACTTGTCCCAACAGCCTGTTGAAGGCTATACAGGGGACCTTTGTCTCTGTCTGTCTTCCTGTGTTTGTCTCCGTGCGTCTGTATGTTTACGTATTTGTGTCTGTCCCTCGTGTTGTTTTTTCGCAGGCGACGTCGGAGATGACGGAGACGATCACGAGCCGCGACGCCGCTCGTTTCCCGATCATCGCGTCGTGCACGCTCTTTGGCCTCTACCTCTTCTTCAAGGTGCAGCGTCACCGCTCACGCATGCACTCCACCGCCACTTGATGCACGCATCAACAACAACCGCCATTGTTGTCGGCGGTTGTCGATGCTTTGCCCGCGTTACCACACACACACTACTAGAAGATGAAACGTAGCAGACATTCATGCTCGGTATGCCCACCGTTAGAACATGGCACATTCGGGACCAATGTAGCACACACCACTAGCGTATGGTACGCATACCAAGAGCATGCCAGCGCACACCCACGAGTCCGCTGATACTTAGGACATATGGTGCTGATTTGTGGTACACTTTCACCACATTTGAGACTGATGTAGCACAGCACCACCAACACAGGAGGCACCACTAACATTTAGCACACATACCAAGAGCATGTTAAAGACACTACTAGCATGTGGTTCAGAACACTCGTACATAACATAGTCACTATTAATACATGACACGCACACATCGCTAGTACGTGACACACAGCCGTATTACATGCACACACAGCACATAGAGATAGTGTGCACAGCACTTTCAACTCCAGTCAACAATTGCACGTGCACACACACATGCGCGCCACTGACATGCGGTGATTACTATGATGCCATGGTGCCAGGTTGGGTTCCCATACCACCAGGATTTGATGATCCGTGCGAAGTGAGAAACTTGATACAATAATAACTAAACACTTAATTAAAATCGAGTCTAAGCGCACGCCCCTTACTGCGAGCATCGTCTGTGTGTGCGTCTGTTGAATACGTGCGCAGTTATTTGTGTGGGTGTAACATATTATGCATGTGTGTGCATGTGTGTAAGTGTATTTGTGCGTGATGTGTATGTGAAACTGCATGGGTTTACAGACTTAATAGGGCATCTGTGTCTTAGGTGTAAAATGTGTGTACTTTACATATGTTTGTATATGTAACCGTTTCTTTGTTTATGGGTGTCGCTTTTTATGTGTGTGCAGCTGCTACTTTATGCATGTGCATAGTTGAAACTGTGTCATTAAGTATGCGTGTGCGTTTTGGTGTAAGCATTTCTGCATGTGTATATGGATATTTGTGGGTGTAACTGTGTGTGTGTGTTTGCTTTGGTCGACTCAGCCTCAAATAAGTACCTGGTGCGGTGTGTATACATCGCCACTATGGAGACAAAGGCGGCCGGGCGTGGTGCTGGCCACCCACCCCCTCGTGTGCCGTGCCGGCTTTCATAGGCGCTCGCTAACAGCACTTGCCCTAACAGTCTGTTCAGACGACATGGGGGGTTCTTTGTGTTTGCTTATATTTCTGTGCATATATGATGTGTCCTCAGGTGTTCTCGCAAGAGTATATCAACTTGCTCCTCTCCATGTACTTCTTTGTACTGGGGATACTGGCTCTGTCACACACGATCAGGTGAACATACACACATACACAAAGATAAAGATCCCCTGTGTAGTCTACACAGGCTGTTGGGGCAAGTGCTGCCACTGCGCACAGATGAACGCCAGTACAGCGCAACGTGGGAGGTGTTGTTTTTGGTACCATGTCTTTTTGTGTCTGTGTTCTACGCCGTCAGTCCTGCCATGGCCCGGGTGTTCCCGGGTCCAGCCTTCGCCTCCCAGTATCAGCTGCTCTTCACACAGGGCACTGGGGAGGCACGTGAGGGTAGGTATACACGCACACACACAGACACCCGTAGACACACAGACGCACAGACACACAGACGCAGGTGGACACGGATAGCGCCACGACACGCGAGCATAGACTCTCACACAGTACCGCGTGTACGCAAGTTGACACAAAGAACGCATAGCCACGCACACGTAGCAATAGACACACACCCACGACGACACGCGGACATGCATAGGTGCACACAGTGGCACCAACACACGCACACACACCAACAACGACACAGTGACATACACATGTACGCACGCAGGCACTCGAAGCACACTCACAAAATAGTTGTGCGTTGTGTTTTGGCCACAGTTGAGACGCTGTTTTCCTGTCCTGGTTTATGCAGAGATCTTGAACTACGAGTTCGACCGTAAGGACCTCTTCTGCCTTGTGCTGAGCTCTGTCGTGGGCGTCTGGTACATCCTCAAGAAGGTGTGACCTCCTTTCGCTTTCCTGGAATCTGCAATGAACACACATACACACACCCACATCGCACAATCACACCTGTACACTCTCACTTGCACCCTTGCCTGCGTTCTTATTTTAATTCATTGTCTGACGAATAGTCACCACCTTGTCCACCCTGTGGGAACTGCCACATTGTAATGGTTAGCAGCACACTGGACTTGCAATCCAGAGGTCGCCGGTTAGATTCCATCGTAGAAACAATTGTGCAGGTTTCTTAAATCCCCCTCGCCCCACCTCCTCTGCCCACCCATCGGTATAAAATTGGTTACACCACAGTCAGTCAATCGGCAGGTTGCGTGTGGTGGGGTAAAGTTGAGTTTACGCCCACTCCTTCCAACATGTCAACGTTGAAGAGGAGACCAAATACCCTCTATTTGTGTTCGCTCTTGTGGACGCCTTTTCTGCCGGCAGTGGAGTGAGCAAGCTACTTTAGGGCTGCGCCTTGCAAGTAGTATTATTACGAATGAAGTTTGTGCTGGCTGGTCGTGCTATTGGTTGTGCTGTAAACCGTGGTTGTGTCGGCCGTGTCGCGCTGAAGCACTGGATCGCCAACAACCTGTTTGGGCTGGCATTTGCACTGAATGGAGTGGAGCTGCTTCATCTCAACAACGTGTGCACCGGGTGCATCCTGCTGGGCGGCCTCTTCATCTACGACATCTTCTGGGTGTGCGCACGCACTCACGCACGCACGCTCGATTACTTGCGCACATATGTACACGTAACAACAATGACACCAGCCGCCATTCGTCACTAAGTAGCGGTGAGGTTACCACAGCGCTTGTGCCAGCCAGGTGCCATGGGTTGACTGACAAATGGCTGGCAGATGCACCACCTCTGCTCCCCACCGTGCCAACTTTTGCTGCGTTTTAGCCACCTGGCGCATTGCTCATTGTTCTAAGAGTCGCTCCTCTGCCCTTCAGCTGCCTAGTAGTGTCCTTTTCGAGCTTCCCCTAAAGAAGCCGACCTTTATAAACGCTGATTACAATCATCGGCAAGTTCACTCGGCTCCAAATCCTCCCGTAACCACATCAGCACATCTTATCGGTCATCAGCCCTAGCTGCAGACACATAACGTGCCCACACGCACACAAGCACTGGTAAAGCGAGATCTTCCATGTAACCATGCAGATTGTTGGGTGAACTGCTGCTGGAAATCTGTGAAAAAGAGCTTCTTAGCTCATCGGATTCCTCCAGTCTTAAAATATTCAGATTCTGCTGTGAGCGAGCATCTTTGAAGGCCGGAACGATGCTGGTGTAGTCAGGACCACGCCAGGTGATCTCTGTCTCCCCTATTCTTATGTTTTCACACCGCACAAGGTTTTGAGTGATGGCTGCATCGACCTAGGTAGGAGGCCCATGACCAGTTCTGATATCACCAGTGCTGTTCGCTGAGGATGGGAACCCAACTCATTTCGTTGGGTTTATAGCGCAGTACTAATCAACAGAAAACTTTATTTTCGTAATGGATTATAAAGATGAATCGGCACCAGTAAGAATCGCTTGTGATCGATTAATGGATGCGTTGTTGCGTGCCCTTTCTGTGTTTGTGATCATTTCTCCGTGTGTGTGCGTATGTTTTTTTTCATGTTTCCGTTCCATCGCCCAGGTGTTCGGCACTAACGTCATGGTGACTGTGGCGAAGTCGTTCGAGGCTCCGATCAAACGTGAGACCGCTGCGTCCGTCTGTCCACTTTAGTGGGCTCGTTTGATATTGACTGACAACACAGCAGTGCAGTTTGTCACAAGGACAATGTTTACTTAGAGGTGGTCGGATGGCTCGGAAGGCAGAACGCTGATCTTGGCCATAAAATGAGCAACCCGGTGAATTGTGTTGTAAACATCAACGCTCGATAGAAAAAGGGGCAGCCGGGCTTGTGGGAGGCTGGCTACACCGCCTCTTCACACGTGTGCATTGATGGCCTTACTATGAGCTAGTTATCATCACCCACCTTGCGGGAAAATAGTTATTCGATTCACGAGTGCTGTCGTGTTGCAGTGGTGTTCCCCCAAGATCTGCTGCAGAGGGGATTGGAGGCCAGCAACTTTGCCATGTTGGGACTTGGCGACATCGTCATACCAGGTCTGTCCATCCATTTGTGCATCCGTCTGTTTTCCTACATGTTTGTGTGTGTATGCCCTTGCTTGCCTGCCTGCTTGTCTGTCCATCTGGGTGCCTGCCTTTCCTCTCTTTACCTGCCTGTGTCTGTCCGGCTCTCTTCTGCCCGTCTGTCTCAGTTGCACTATTTCCGTGTCTTACCTGCTTGTCCATCATTCTCACTGTCGGCTTACCTGTCTGCCTGTCTCTTTTGCACTATTTCCCTGTCTGTCTGCGATTAATCTCACCGTCTGGCCACCTGCCTCCTTGCCTGTGTATTTCCATGGGCAATGGTCTATATCATTTGTTAATATTGCAGTGGAGTCTTGTCTACGACATGGATCAAGATCTGCAACCTAAACAACAAAAGTTTGTTAATTGTGCAGGCGACGCGCTCGGTGCGGGCGCTCGTTTTGCCCGTAGCGTTGCTATCACGAGACAGCTCTGACTAACACCCCTTGGTCCTTGGGAGAGTGAAGCTTCCATTTAATGTTGGTGTCAAGTCTGTTTCACTGCAGGTTTACCCGAGAATAAAGCCTAATGTAAAGTCGCATTGTCTTATTTCAGGAATCTTCATTGCTCTCCTGCTCCGCTTTGATATCAGGTAACAATTTATTTAGCAAATAGTGAGTTGGTTTTTCTCTTGAGTGTTTTCTCGTGTGCGTGCGAGGTAGTTGCTCGTGCACTGCGCTATGAATTAAACCCTACAAGCCCGCGCTGTGTGGGGTGAGGCCCTCGTGCAGCAGTGAATAAATAAAGGGCTGTAATTAATTATAATTATTTACGAGACAAAAAAAGAGACAACCCAGACCCTGCGGTCAAACCCAGGCTCCCAGTGGCGCTGGCCTAGTTGTCTATGCCAGGGGTGGGGAACGTCCGGCCCGAGGGCCGTATAAGGCCCGCGAAATAATTTGGTCTGTTCCAGCCATCACATTAGGGGTGCATTAATTAAATGTTTGACCAAATATAACGGGCTAATTTTTAAGTTGATCATTTTGTATGGCCCGTGAATGATGTTATAAATATCCAAAAGGCCCTTAGCATAAAATAGGTTCCCCACCCCTGGTCTATGCCATGGCCATTATGCATATACTTAGCAGTGTTTCACTTTCTACTCTATAATCCAGGTGGCCTATGTTGAATTCCCGGCAACAGTGGTCATCAATACCTTATTGGTGTCTTAACCTGGCCTGTGCCTTGCCTATGCGCAACTCGCCTTGTGATTAATGTGTATGTGTATATATGTTGAACTTCTTTCGCATCATACGTAGCGCACCGTGCTAATAGGAGTTGCGGGTGAAGGTCAACAAACTAAACACAAAAAGCAATACATTGTTCCTACCAGCTGTAAGTGGGATGTTTATCATCATCATCTGTGTTTGAGATGAACAGCCTGAAGAAAAACAGCCGCACGTATTTCTACGTCAGCTTCCTTGCCTACATCCTCGGCCTGGGTCTCACCATCTTCGTGATGCACACCTTCAAGCATGCTCAGGTGAGCGTGACCCTTCGCCCTGATGGCTACACGACCAGCACAGCGATGGTGCCTCTCTTGTGATGCTAGATGGCCCAAGTCCAGAGGTTGCCAGTTCATTTTGATCTCGCTGCGCAACACGTTGAAAACGTTGGGCATGTTTCATACATCCTCAGCCGTGGTCGGTACAATGAGTACCCCATTGTGGGAAGTCTACAGTGGTTTTCCCTGTGGGCATACTCGACCCCCACCATAGGAACATGGAGTTTTCACCACTGGCTTCGAACTGTTCATGGGAGATGAGGACTGCCGTAAGCTCTTTTTTTTTAGCGGGCAATCCACTTTTAATTGTTTACTGAATGTCCATGATCCTGTGATCCCATGTGTTTTCCTAACCACATGTTCCTTTGTCCCTGTGCCCCCTGTCCTGTGTGCTTGTGTTCATATGTCTCGTGCCACCTCTCTGTGTGTCCTTGTCTATCCACTGTTCCCATGTCCCGGTGTGTCCCCTTTATCACTTCTTTGTGTGTGTGTCTTCCGTGTCCTCTCGGTATCTAAATGCTTCCTGTCCCCATGTGTGTTTGTCTGTGGCCCCTGCCCTGTGTGATTGTGTTCACATGTCCCATGTCTTCTCTGTGTATGTCTTGTTTCCTGTCTGTGTTCACATGCTCCCCGTCCCCCCTGTGTGCCATCGTGTCCCTCTGTCTCTTCCATCCACGTGCTCCCTTCTCACCCTGGTGGTGTATGTCACTGTGTTGCCTGTCCCCGTGTGGCGTGTTCCCTTGTCCCTGTCTCCCTGCAGCCGGCGCTGCTGTATTTGGTCCCTGCTTGCATTGGGCTGCCTGTGCTGGTGGCTCTGCTCAAGGGAGAGGTCAAGGAGATGTTTAAGTGAGAGATTAAAACACACATTAAGTTACATGTATAAACACGCACACAAGGACACTACACATGTGACGTGTCCTTGTGAGTATGAACACACGTAAAAAGGCACATGCACGTGAATTTGTACACACACAAACACATGAACATGCACATATACACAAACGCACACAAACATACATATGTACACATGTACGTGCATGAATACATGCATATGCACATAACATAGTATATACAGGACATACGCATAACCACATACATGCACACAAACACCCCATGTTTCCCCTTCAATCCATTTCGGAGTGAATGCGTGTGTTTTTAGCCTGAGTTGTTGACTTGGCAGTCTGGGTGGATGACTTCCTCTAACTGACAATTTGAAGCACTCAGCTGTGAGCTTTTCATATTGTGACCTCTGTTCCCATAGTCAATCTCATGTCTGTCTCCGTGTGTGTCTGTGTGTGGGGAGCGATGGCACAGCGGCTAGCACGCTACGCTACGAACGAGTTCGATTCCTGCTCATGGCCAACACCAGTGACAGTTATCTGAATCGCTCCTGGGCCTCTCCTAGGTCGACTCAGCCTAAAATTACTACCTGGTGTGGTGTGTAAGCATTGCCACCAGGGGAACAAAGGTGGCCTGCTGTGGTGCTGGGCAGCCACCCTCTCGTATGCCGTGCCGGCCTTCGTCGGCGCTCGCTAACAGCACTTTCCCAAAAACATCTGTGAACGCTACACAGGGGATCATTGTTTTGTGTCTATGTGTCTGTGCATTTGTGTGTCTTGGTGAATGTGTCTGCATTTGTGCGTGTCTATCCCTGCCAGCAATTATCTCTCTTTCCTCCCTGTCTCTGTTTTGTTCACATCTCCACCCCCGCCTCTTTCTCTCTGTCCACCTTCCACCCCACTCTCTCTCCCCCCGGCCTCATGCATCCTAAAGCTACGAGCTGCCCTTGGAGGATCCCCTCGCGGGATCGGACGATCCCCCGCAGACCCCTCCTATCGCCAGTGTGGGGGAGCAGGGGGCCCCCACTCCCCTCCCCAACCCCGGCCCCTCCCAGTCCCCCCGCCGGAGACGCTAATGGCCGAGGGGGAGCTCGCGACACCCCCCCCCCCCCCAACGTACGCCCCACAGCGGTACAGCATTGCGAGTGCCTCTTGCAGACTAACCGACTCACCACTAACTCTGCTCTGTCCTCTCCCTCTCTTCAGTTACCACTAATGCAATAACTCAATAACCAAGTATCCTCATATCGAGAGATTGGCCCCCATTGCAGGAATGTGGAATTTCCAGCGTTGGCTCAGGGCCACCAGAGGAGATGAGTTTATGCCACATCCGTTTCTTGCATGTGTATTTAAATGGAACCTTTTGAGCCAATTATTGGTAAATTTCCCACCCTTGTACACCCTTGTATAGGCAGCTTGACAGATGTCTTTTAATACAGCAATCCTGTGATATTGGTGTAGAAATGTGCAAACACATACGTGGATATTAAAACAGTTTGATTCGTGCACGAACTTGCTGACGGTGTGTAAAGTTTTTGACAGCAGAATGCAAGAATCCTTGTGTGCCCCTTAACGAGCGTTGTGGTGATGCCGATTGCACGGTGCGCTGAGCATTAACAGCCACCCATGTTCCCCAGGTATGAAGAGACACCCCCGGAAAAAGCTACCGAGGAGTCGGTGCTCCCCAAGGGGCCCGAGGACAAAAAGGGCGACTGAACCCTGCACGCCGATTTACTCAGTTTTTTTTTATCATGATTATTATCGTTATTGTCATTAACGTTATTATGATGATATTAATTTCATTTTTGTATTATTTAAACAAAATGAAATGACCCGCATTTTGTAATTTTTTGTCCATTTCAAATTTTATTTCGCTTTTCGTGCTAATTTTTTTTTTCAATCGGGCGGTTCGCCTTGAAGCGGTTGTCTCCTGCGGATTGAAGTGTTGACGCAATGCAGTTTACTGCTGCACCGCACCGTCAGTCATAGATGGAGCAATGCTTTGTTTTTGGCCATAACCGAAGCCTCGGATGGCTTTTAATCAAACGGCAGAGAGTGTCACGAGAGATGTCTTCTTGCCTGCAAAACAAATGTCTCATTCAAATTATGTTTCCATTGGCCAGACAGATCTCCGTCAACTCTGTATCATTGCCATACCAAGTTTCCAGGGTTGCTCGTAATAAACTCTGTGCAGGTGACAATTCACCAGCGACTGTTTGTTTTCAGGTTTCTCCAGTTAATCATGTTTTGGAGGGGCGTGATCACTCTGCCCTGCTGCGTTGGGATGGTTATAGTTCATCCATCCCCAGTACTGACCGGCCTTGCGCCAGCTTCATTTCCGAGGTCTGACGACGATTTGGTGTATTCCGAGTTAGGTTTGGCTGGTAAAATTTATTTTTGCGAACCAGTATCACCCAACCCTTGTTGAGCTGGAATGCTCCACCAGTCATTGTTCAGAACGACTTTAATACAGTCTAAATTCAAACAAGTCACAATGCAGTTTGACTAATGGTGAGTTGTCTTAATTTATCCCGGATCACGAGTCATTTATTTCAGCGGCAACACGGTCGCTATAAGATCTGTTCCCCCTGATCTATTGTTTCAACACTTGATGTGGTTCGTCATTGTGCCGTCATTCCAAGACTTTTAACTCCAAGCAAACCCCCTCAATCTCTCCACAGTAAGGATTTCTGAACGCAGTTTGTGTTCAGGATTCCGTTGCCGACACTGGGAAGGATTACTTTGGCATTTTATTCATTTTCTTTTGGAGTAGCAACCTTAAGAGGTGGGGGATTGAGTTACTCAATACGGCAACGCATTCATATAAAATTCCATGGCACGCTCCTTCACTGCAACACAGTTCCATGGACGAGGCTGAAGCAAGAGGTCACGGAGTGTGTCACTCGTTTTCAACGGTTCCAGAAATTTCGGCCAATTTCACACACTTTTGTGAAAGTGAATAGATGGCTTACCCAGACGTAACTCGTGGTGGAGTTTTGGCACGTGGTGGTTATCGCAATGCGGTATAAACCCAGTGACCCTTGGCAATCAAGTTCGATTGCAAAGGTTAGCACCGTTGGCGAGTGATATCCGAACCCACACTGACCAGTGTGGTGAAGTATGCTCAAACAATCCCCTGTGACCAGCACAGCATGGGTGAAGAATTCTTCAGGTAGAAATAGGTTGACACAAGGTTGCATTCCGAAATGTAACGTGGAGTGAGCTCGATTACATGATGCCTTTTTTTCATTTAACATTGCCCCTTTACGCAAACGGAGGAAACCCCCAATAACGTGACAACCCAGCAGCATTGAACAGGCCTGACAAGCCTTCTGATGAGACTCAAAATGTCAAAACCGCTCCACCATTTGCGTGTTGAAACAAGTGCTGCTGCCGGACGTGTGTGTGTGTGGAGAGAAGCCCTTGAGGTTTTTTTGCATCATGGTATTGAGAGTGCCGACCAAATATTGTTGGGAAAGTGATTCAAGATTTCCTACTGAATGGTTGCGACGTGTGAACGTTTGGGTTGTGTGTCAAAGGGTTCCTTTGTGCTCTCTTTTTTTTAAGAGTCGATCGAGATTTTACCTTTAAACTGACGTTTTGCAGCAAGAACTTGATGCGCTCTCCTGTCACGCGTATGCATTGTATGATATTGTTCCTCTGGCTTCAGCCCGCAGTGTTTTAAAGTTTAAAAAAAAGCAAATAAACTACCTTGAGAATTAATCGAGTTTGTACCGCGAGAAATTTTCACTTTCGAAAGTGCAGCGCAAAAAATGCGGTTGTTACGCCGTACGAATCACAGTGACGGCGTGAACTCTACAATGCACGACGCGGAATGACCAGGCGCGTCGTCTGTTGCAACTTCAAGCCGAGGTAGCGGTGCCCCCTAGAGACGAGAACCCGCCAGCCCCGCTGTGCGTTAGCGACACGCGGGGAAGACAGCGCTCCCCCTGCCGACGGAAAGAGGCAAAAGGCGACAACAAAAAGCCTACAACACCTGGTATTCCCAGGCGGTCTCCCATCCAAGTACTAACCAGGCTCGACCCTGCTTAGCTTCCGAGATCGGGCGTATTCAGGGTGATATGGTCGTAGGCGAAAGCTCAGTGAAGATTTAGTAAATTCATCTCTAATGTATTTGCCTTTCACCTTTGAACTTATTTAACTTTTCCGTGTGTGAAGACACCACCTGCGGTCATCCTCGCATTCACGGTGGAGTTCAACTCGAGACGTCTCGGTGCAAAGCCAAGTGGTCTCATCTCTGGAGCAGCAGCAGCAGCCTCCAAGTTGAGCAGCTATCTCAGAAGAAGTGTTGTGATCATATTTATGTACAGTATTTGTGTGTATTGAAACCATGACGTACACACTTTGTTCATCCACTGATGGATGAAGCCCTACAACACGCCGTGTCTGTCCTGTCCTGGGGGTTGATTGAGCATACTTCACCACGCTGGTCGACGGTGCGGGTTGGTGGTGAAGTGGTGGAGAGAGGCTGACCTGGTTCGGATATCACTCGACACCACCGATGATGTTAGCCGTGCCCGGGATTCTAACTCAGCTCAGCAGCTGGCGGTGAACACGAGTTTCATGGGAAACGCTCATTCGCTGTAGAAACATCAGCGGAAGCTGATAATGTTAGAGATGAATTTACTAAATCATCACCAACTCTCGCCTACGACCATATCACCCTGAATACGCCCGCTCTCGTCCGATCTCGGAAACTAAGCAGGGTCGAGCCTGGTTAGTACTTGGATGGGAGACCGCCTGGGAATACCAGGTGTTGTAGGCTCTTTGTTGTCGGCTTTTGCCTCTTTCCGTCGGCAGGGGGAGCGCTGTCTTCCCAGCGTGTCGCTCACGCACAGCGGGGCTGGCGGGTTCTCGTCTCTAGGGGGCACCGCTACCTCGGCCTCGAGCTGCACCGACTACGCGCCTGGTCATTCCGTGTCGTGCATTGTAGACTTTTGTGCTCTACTCGGACCCACAGCTAACAGACGGGGCCCTCCGATATGAACGTCACGCAGTTCACCAGCGTTCACTCACTCTGTTGGCGAGACACTGATTGTCAAAACCAGCCCAGAATTTGTTCCTGTGGTTAACCATGAAACGATTCACTCTCAGGTCGCCTGGCTGATGGGATGTGGAAGAAAAAAAAATTGGATTTCGTGATGCTAAGTCGATTTTGTGCTGACAAGAATACATCTTCTCGCAGTGCACCATTTTACTTTGAATAGAAAGTTTGTACGATTTAGGAGTTATCCTTTTTTATTAAAAGAAGGATTAAAGGAGGTGTGACTCAATCGCAATTTTTAGTTCAACTGTTCTTATGACAATTCCAAAACTGGTCATCAAAATTAATAGTTTTAAACATGGTATTCTCACCAGGTCCCATGGTGTAAATAAGTGCAAGACGCCAACTCTCATTTCCCACTATCCCCTCTGCAGTGGGCAGTGAACAACACCCACTTGTTGCACCCCACTTCTTTGTACAGAGATTCCCGCTCTCACGATCCCCCAGAGACCAGCGTGAACGCGCGGCCAAATAAGCCCCGTTACCCACTCGGCATGTGGAGGCCCTCATCCAGAAGTGCACTGACAGAGGGCTGTGTACGTTCAATCAGGCAGCTGTAAGGCAATGTTATAGCTGAAAGCCAGAAATAGAACTCAGATCGTCAACCCTACACTGACTCGTGTGGTAGAGTACCAAGATTCTAAATCCGACATTGGGACCTCCTCATCATTGGTATTGGGGTTCCGATTGTTCTCATTGCCGATGATTGTTTAAAGCAAATTAAATAGGAAACAATGGGACATGTACAATTTAGAAATAAACATTTCTTGAAATCTTTATCTCTGGTGAACTTGGGAGGGGATGAAGGTTTATAATGGCTGTCGGTGACCCACGGTTGGAATCCGGGTTTCAATCGCCCATAAATTACAAGTGCTCTCCAGTGTGAGTTGATGGTCCCAACTTGCTCTTCAAAGGAATGCACAAAACAAGCCATCAAACTTTTCTCGTGACTTAATCGTCATCTTCATCAGCCATGGTCAATCCACTGCTGGATGAAGCAACCCCCCACCCTAAACCATCACCATTTCAGGTGATCCTGCCATCAAATGATCATTTGCTCTCTTCAAGACAGTGAATTCTGTGCAGAACGTTACTATTTCTATTTTACCAGGTAAGGCCCAGGAAGCTGTATAGCGCTTCTTGAGATTCGTCCTGGCCACAAATAATAGCTCAACAAAGTGGCTGTGGAAGTTTCTGGCAGCCAGATACTTAAAAACAAGTAAACACACACTTTTAATATTTTAGTCGTGGCTTAATTATAATTATTTCCAAGTCTGGGAATTAATGATTGTATGTTTTCCCCATTTTTGCCGAACAGTGTCAGTGTCACATTGGATCAAAACATTTAAGGTAGCTGCCGCAAAGTGTTTGTGGAACCAACTAGTTTCTTTATGTCTCGACATCTCCATGCTGCCACCTCTTTCCTCGTTAAAACTGACTCTGTGAATACAATCACGAACGTTTAAGTGTGAATGTCATTTTAAACATAATTTGTACTTTAAGTTTTTTTTTTAATTATGGAATGCTGCGGTGTCTACTGGCCTAGTCGCGCTTGCAAAAGAGCAACTTAGCTCAATGGGCTTTACACGATGGGAAATGAGCTTCTTTAGAATAATTGGCTGAATCTGGACTTAAAGCTTTCGTGACTGCAGGAATTCATTTTCTTGGGTCTTTCGGTAAAGTCACGTAGATAGGTTCAAAGAAAACATGTATTTTTTTGTTTTTTCTCCTTGAACCTATCTACGTGACTTTACTAAAAGACCCAAGAATAATAATTGGCTGATAGAAATGTCCACATGATCATAAGTCACTTCGTTGAGCTATCATTTGTGGCCATGTCGCTTTTGAAAAAGAGCAATGTAGCTCAGTGGACCTTACCTGGTAAAATAAAAATATAAATCTAGTTTTCTGGTTACCTGTCATGCTCTTCGGGCAGAGGGATACGAGATCCCGCCAGCCCCTCTGTGCGTGAGCGACACGCGGGGAAGACAGCGCTCCCCCTGCCGACGGAAAGAGGCAAAAGCCGGCAACAAAAGCCTACAACACCTGGTATTCCCAGGCGGTCTCCCATCCAAGTACTAACCAGGCTCGACCCTGCTTAGCTTCCGAGATCGGACGAGATCGGGCGTATTCAGGGTGATATGGTCGTAGGCGAAAGCTCAGTGAAGATTTAGTAAATTCATCTCTAATGTATTTGCCTTTCAACTTTGAACTTATTTAACTTTCCCGTGTGTGAAGACACCACCTGCAGTCATCCTCGCATTCACGGTGGAGTTCAACTCGAGACGTCTCGGTGCAAAGCCAAGTGGTCTCATCTCTGGAGCAGCAGCAGCCTCCAAGTTGAGCATCTATCTCAGAAGAAGAGTTGTTATCATATTTATATACAGTATTTGTGTGTATTTAAACCATGACGTACACACTTTGTTTATCCACTGATGGATGAAGCCCTACAACACGCCGTGTCTGTCCTGTCCTGGGGGTTGATTGAGCATACTTCACCACGCTGGTCAACGGTGCGGGTTGGTGGTGAAGTGGTGGAGAGAGGCTGACCTGGTTCGGATATCACTCGACACCACCGATGATGTTAGCCGTGCCCGGGATTCTAACTCAGCTCAGCAGCTTCACTGCACCGTGACGCTTAGAGCCACGGCACCCGAAGGGCTGTGGTCTTGACAGTGGCAGAAGTGAGCGCTGGGGTCGCGATTTGTAGCTGGTTGTGAACACGAGTTTCATGGGAAACGCTCATTCGCTGTGAAAACATCAGCGGAAGCTGATAACGTTAGAGATGAATTTACTGAATCATCACTAAGCTCTCGCCTACGACCATATCACCCTGAATACGCCCGATCTCGTCCGATCTCGGAAGCTAAGCAGGGTCGAGCCTGGTTAGTACTTGGATGGGAGACCGCCTGGGAATACCAGGTGTTGTAGGCTTTTGTTGCCACCTTTTGCCTCTTTCCGTCGGCAGGGGGAGCGCTGTCTTCCCCGCGTGTCGCTCACGCACAGCGGGGCTGGCGGGTTCTCGTCTCTAGGGGGCACCGCTACCTCGGCTTCGAGCTGCACCGACTACGCGCCTGGTCATTCCGTGTCGTGCATTGTAGACTTTTGTGCTCCACTCGGACCCACAGCTAACAGAGGGGCCCTCCGATATGAACGTCACGCAGTTCACAGGCGTTCACTCACTCTGTTGGTGAGACACTGATTGTCAAAACCAGCCCAGAATTTGTTCCTGTGGTTAACCATGAAACGATTCACTCTCAGGTCGCCTGGCTGATGGGATGTGGAAGAAAAAAACCAAAAAATTTTGGATTTCGTGATGCTAAGTCGATTTTGTGCTGACAAGAATACATCTTCTCGCAGTGCACCATTTTACTTTGAATAGAAAGTTTGTACGATTTAGGAGTTATCCTTTTTTTATTAAAAGAAGGATTAAAGGAGGTGTGACTCAATCGCAATTTTTAGTTCAACTGTTCTTATGACAATTCCAAAACTGGTCATCAAAATTAATAGTTTTAAACATGGTATTATCACCAGGTCCCATGGTGTAAATGAATGCAAGACGCCAACTCTAATTTCCCACTATCCCCTCTGCAGTGGGCAGTGAACAACACCCACTTGTTGCACCCCACTTCTTTGTACAGAGATTCCCGCCCTCACG